ACATAGGCTTTTGGGTGAAATGAACCCATACGGAAAAACATCCAGACAGATTTCAGGAGGAGACCAAAGGAAGGCATCTGAGCCTTCCTGCTTTAGCTAGTGTTCTCCAAGGTTAACAAAAATGCTTTATAACATGTCTATGAGATACTTTATAATATGGCTATTTTCAGACAACGCTTCTTAAGATGGATTCAGATCTAGGGAAAACCTGTACTGTGATGGAAAATAGGGAAGGATGCCTCCTTATTCCCAGAAACTTCAGGAAATTTTTTAAATTTTTGAGTCTAGTTGATGGCAGTGATGAAAGCGCTCATTTGAAACTCTTCCATTCACGAAGCAGCAATTTCACCAAGAGGTAGGTGGTAGGTAGGGAAGGACAGGGCATCATGTTCCAGGAGGGATAAAGAGGAGAGGGTGGACTGAGGGACCAATGGAGGAACACCCACCTGAATGCTCTCTTCGAGCTCAACAATACTTGACAATAAGGACTGGATTCTTCTAGGGCTTGTGTGGCAGCTGCAGAAAGCCTAAAGCCAGCAACTATGTGGAGAGGGACAGGTATGGATTATATCTGATGGGTGTCGGTCCAAATAGGAGCTAGGTGTCTAAAAAGTTGGTCACCATTTACTTTTTTTTTTTGAAGTTCAGATAGTCTTTCTATTGTCATGTTTTTTCTTTTTTTTTTTTTTAAAGATTTTTATTTATTTATTTGAGAGAGAGAATGAGAGACAGAGAGCATGAGAGGGAGGAGGGTCAGAGGGAGAAGCAGACTCCCTGCGGAGCAGGGAGCCCGATGCGGGACTCGATCCCCGGACTCCAGGATCATGACCTGAGCCGAAGGCAGTCGCTCAACCAACTGAGCCACCCAGGCGCCCATGTTTTTTCTTTTTTAATTTCTTTTCCTGACTCAGTATATTTGCCTTTTATTACATCATGATTTCAGCTTTCATCTTTGTTTCACAGATCCATGTTTTCCTGAATTTTATGGACCACAAAGTAGACATTCCCTAAAGTTTACTTCTGTTGCCGTTAGTACATTTTATTTTCAAAAGTGAGTCCTTTCTCTGCATTTTGAGTGCTGTATTCTCTGCATTCTTTAATGCTCACTCTTTTTGTTGATATATGTATTTTTTCTGTTTAGCTGTTCTCGAATAAAGAGAGGTGAATGCCAGCTGGGTGTTCTCCATAAACACAGGGACCGTGTTCTAGGTTTCCTTTATGTCTTGCCAGGGTGTTGATAGAATCTTTCGCTCATTGCATAAGCCAGAGAAACGGGAGTAGGTATGAATTTCTAGTACGTCGTATGCGTCCTAACCGTACTTTGTTCTGTATTGTTTCTTCTCTGGATTTGTTGAAGGCGCTGGGTTATGCGTTTGCCTCTGTTCACAGCCTTCTGTCAGGGTAGACCTTCACACGTGGTTGTGCCTGTGTGTATGTGGTGCTACCGGTGACTACGTGAGGATGGAGCCCCACACTGTTGGTTTTCTGCTCCTTGTGGCACGGAGCCTGGGACTTTCTAGGGGAGATGGTTGTCAGTGCTCTGATCTGAACTGATGAGTGGGATTCCAGGTGATGCATTCCCTGAGTGCCTTGCTCCTGCTTTGGCCTAGGGCCCTGGCTGCCAGATTCCAGGATGGTATGAAGCTCTTCTAGACTTGCTTACCCCGATATTGTGCTTTCCCAGGAGTGGGAATCGTTAATAATCGTGGATTCAAAGCAATACTCTGTATGATGTTCTTGATCATTTCAATTGTTTTTGACTCATTATAATTGGTTTTTAGTTCATGAAAGTGACGTAGGAAGCCCTTCTACTAGGAATAGGAGCTTCTCTTAGGAAAAGAAGTGACAGTCATTTTTATTTACTTGACCTTGCATAATTAGCATTATATTTCATCTGCCACTTTTAAAAATATCGTTTGAAACTACTTGCCTATTTTGTAAAGACGGGCTTAGTTAAATCTAGGTCACGAATCCACAGTCCATTTAATGGGAGACCCAGGAATCTACTCCCACCCTTGAAAGATCACTATCCTAGAATATGCCTTCAAGTTTTTTGTTTTTGATTTTTGGAAAATCATATTAATGATGAAGTTTTGAACTTGTCCACACCTGAGAATATATTTGTTGGCATTTCTACTAAATATAGATCTAGGCAGGGGCGCCTGGGTGGCTCAGTCGTTGAGCGTCTGCCTTCGGCTCAGGTCATGATCTCAGGGTCCTGGGATCGAGCTCTGCATCGGACTCCCTGCTCGGCAGGAGGCCTGCTTCTCCCTCTCCACTCCCCCTGCTTGTGTTCCCTCTCTCGCTGTATCTCTCTCTGTCAAATAAATAAAAATCTTTAAAAAAAAATATATAGATCTAGGCATAGATATTTTAAATTACACCACATTATTCTCAAAAAATGGTATTACTGTTAAATGGCTTTCTGGTATCTGGCATGGTAGAATTCTATGGCCAACTTACATTTCTGTTACTTTGTAAGTCGTATATTTTATTTTCTAAGATTTGCAAGTTCTTTTCTCTATTCTTTGAAATAAAAAATTACAACAGCATATAATCGATGTTTTTATGTATTTTTTTTTCTGGTTTTATCTGATCCCTTTTCATCTGCTTATAAAGATTTTTCTTCAGTCTAGGAAAACTTATTTGATTAAAGCTGCTTGAGTTTGTTTATTTCTTATGGAAGCCCTATTACAGGTGGACAAGATCATCTGGTTCTTACTTCTATTAGTCTTAGATTTTGCCTAGTCATTTTTTACTTTTTGTTGTTTTCCTCTTAGGTTTTGAGAATTGACATGGGTCCTATTATAGAGTCATGTCAATTCCCGGTAGAATCTTCAAGCCCCAAATGAAGGGAGAAAATAAAAAAATTCTTAAATTTACCCTCATTTTACTTTGCCAGTTGAGAGTCCAGACAGCTTGGGGGTAGTTGGGCCCCTAGAGGTGAGAGTCAAAATTAGAGGCAGGCCTAGCCAGGAATGTGTTTTGCTAAAGAGCTTCCAGTCCTTATTTGGAATAGCTCTCAGGGCTCACAGCTACAATCTCCCCATTCTTTGGCAGACTGGCTGTCCACTCTGTGTGAGTGACTGGTAAGCCCTTCCATGCCAACTCCCTGTCCTGCTGCCCCTGAAACCCAGAACACTTCCTAATGGGAGCTACAGGGCTGATCCTCACCTCCAGGCCCACAGAGGGCTCTGCTGGTTTCCCTGTTACATGCTGGAGATTCACAAATCAAGTAGTGACCACCCTCAGTCTAATTTCTACGGTATTTTACATCGTTGAAATTCCTTGGAATTTCTTTTGTATGGCTGATCCTACTGTTGAAGGTTGATCCAGAGTTTTTCCTCAATCTTTATTGCTGGTCATTTTCATGGAGATCTGGAGGGGAGTCGTTTACACCTTGCCAAGAAGTGAACTACTCTCTCTTATGATGGCAAATCTTGAGGATATTTTGAAGTCAGGAAAGTGGAAACAGCCTTGGGAGATGGAGACTTGACACTAATCTTAAGTATATTGCTAGGATGTTTCCCATCTGGTTGCCTGTGATGATCAAGGTCACTGAATAACAACAATGGCAATAATGGTAATAATTGCCTTTATAAAAACAACCAGGAAAGGGGAGATGTTGGTCAAAGAGTATAGACTTTTAGTTTTAAGATGAAAAAGTTCTGGGGATCTGATGTGTTTTGGTGATTATAGCATGGTGATTATAGTTAGCAAGTTACTAGTTTCAAGTATTGTATACTTGAAAGTTGCTAAGAGTTAAATCTTAAATGTTCTCACCATAAAAAAAGTTATAATTGTATGAGGTGTTGGATGTGTTAACTAACCTTATTGTGGTAATCATTTTGAAATATATATGTGTATCAAATCACCGTGTTGTACACCTTACACAATGTGATATGTTAATTATATTAAATAAGGCTAGAAAAAACCCACATGGTTGATGTGAATATATTATGATTTAATCTTTATATCAACTTAGAGCATTTGATGTTTGGATCTCCATCTTTTAGCTGACACTCAGAGAAGTTAAATATCTTGCCTGGTATTACATAGCTAATATGTTGTGATGTGGGGCTCAAACCCAAGGTTGTCCTCAAAGCTTCTGTTCTTTCCTTTGCTGGCTGTCAAATGGCCTGAGGAGTTGTCCAGCCTCCACATCTTTGGTATTTACAGTGTTCTCAGCTACTGGACTTTGATCATCTCTTGTCATTTTATTGCTCTCATATATACTAACCCCTTCTCTGTGGGGTAATGTTGAAATAAATAATATAGCCTATATTATCATTTCTCTTACACTGTCTGGAACACTTGACTAGCAGCGGGGGATGATCTTGTCTTTAATACTTTGGTTTACTATCCAGCCTTTCTCTCTCTCTCTCTTTTTTTTCTTTAAAGCTGGGGTATTTATCTGCCCCTAGAGGAATTCCTCCTGTCCTGTAAAATAGTTTATCTTCAGGTATTCCTTATGTAGCCCTCTATGGGTATTTTGGTGCTCTGAATCTCCTCACCTGTCTTAGAATACCCATTGACTATGAGGTTGCTCATGCAGGCTCATGAGGCTGGTCACTGCTGAATGAACATAGTATAATCTTTAACATGGCAGAATCTCAAGTGGTATTTTGTGATGTGGGTGCTGCTCATGCTTTACTACATCCAATGAGAACAAAAAAATTCAAATTAGAGAAGCAGCAAAATCATTGCTAATTTAGGAAATTCCTAGAAAGATAAAAGACAGCTAGAAAGTCTTGGGGGTGGTCTGTGCCTGGTGGATGAGAACATTTTTGTTCTTGCTTCACAATGGCAAAAATGTATGTATTTATTTTATAACTTGAGAACTACCAGTATTTCTCAGCTCCCTCATTAGATTTGTATTTTCCTTCCAGGTAAACTGGAATAAATAAAAACATTCCATGGCTGTAAAATGTGTCTCTGTAATTGTGGGATTATTCTTTGTTCCCTCTATTCTAATTTAATCATGTCTTTTTTCCCCCTAGGTTACGGTCTTTGGTCAAACAATTAGAGAGAGGCGAGGCTTCGGTGGTAGATCTTAAGAAGAATTTGGAATATGCGGCCACAGTGCTCGAATCTGTGTACATTGATGAAACCAGGTAAGCTAAACATGACAAGACGTGAGTACACTGGGGGTCAGTTCTCTGTTATGTGGCTTTTGTGAAATGCCCCCCTTGGCCTGTACTGGGGTAGTGCTCAAACGATGGGTGACGGAGCTTTCGTTTCCACAAAACGAAATTTGGACCTCCCCTAGCCTCCGTGCCTCCTCATCTGAGAAAGGAGCTAGCTGAACTTTTCTCACATGGCCATTATGATAATGGAGTGAGATAATGTAAGAGGAGAAGTGATTTTTAAAAATATGGTAAGATTTCTTATCAAGTGTAGAGTTCCACTGTAATAATTGCATGCTGTTAGCCTCAGCCTAAAAGTTATGTTCATGTGTTAATTCACATTGTCTTTAAGTGGAGGTTCCTGAAGTGACGATAAAGCATTTATCCTCTTAAGGACCCAGAATTCCTCCTGCAATCTTGCGTGTTACCAATTTTCTTAATAGACTCCACCTGAATGATCCAAACGTCTTAAAGCACTTCCCGTCACCAAATGCATTTGAAAGTAGCAAAAGAGCTTTTCTTTTGAAAAATGTTAACCTGGTGAATTTAAAAGGCTTTTTTTCTCTTTCCTAATTCAGGCTCCTCTATCAGTCTTAACTTCTCTATGCCAGATTCCAATCTGAAAGGATTTCCCAGTAATCTAAGAATTAGTATGCATGTAGTTTAGTTTTTGGTGACTTGCTTGGTTCCTAATTCAAGGAAATTTGATATCATAGTTTTTTCCAAATGTTACATTTTCTCCCCCGCCCCCCAACTGATGTGTCTAAAGGAAAAAAAAAACAACAACAACAATCTTTTTTTTAAACTTTTTATTGATACCTGTTTACACTACTTATTTTTCGTAGGGCTTAATATAAGTATAAAGTGCAATTTTATTTTAACTTACTATTATTTATGTTCTCTTCTGGTGGTCTGACCTATGAACAAGTTTGAAAAATCAGCCAAGCACATCTTACAGATGACTTAAATCACTGAGCTCAAGTAAAGAACTGCATTATTTTGGAAATTTTGCTTGAATTTAGAATTTACACTTCTGTAATGTTCTATCAAACTAGAAGGAATATCAGTTGATATCATTTTGGTTTATTACTTCAGAGGACTGGGTTGATGTGATTTGGGCAATGTTTTACAAAGTCTTTTTCTTTTTTAAATTTTTAATTTTTAAAAAAATTATTTTTATTTTATCTTAAATTTATTTTTATTAAAGATTTATTTTATTTATTTGTAACTGTTGTATAACCTTGTATAACTTTAAGTTGTACAATGTGGTGATTTAATGCACTTATATATTGTAATATGATGACCACCACAGCATTAGCTAACACCTCTATAATGCCACAGAATCTTCATGATTTTTTTGTGCTGGGAACAATTAAGATCTAATCTCTTAGCAACTTTGAAGTTTGTGATGCAGTATTGTTGTCTATAGCAAAATCTTTAAATGTTCTTTTTTTTTAAACACAAAATAATGCCACATGGTCCATCTATGAAAACCTCCCTGTGAATGCATTTTTAAATGGAAGATTTAGATCCCATTCAAATTCCACAAACCTAGGAATAAAGATACTGGGTGCTCCTTAGAGCCTGAGATGGAGCATTTTTGACTTTCTCTGATTTCTTTGTTTCTTTGTGCAGTCTGGTAGAGAGAACCATCCTGACACATAATGGTGAGCTTGTACAAGCCTTACCAAAAAGGTGCTGTATTTTTTGTGGCCGTTTTTATTTGGTTTCTTTGTACCTGTGGAGGCAGGTGGGATGGAAAGAGGGAGCAGCCATTGTGAACAGAGAGCTCTAACTTCAGATGTAATCTCAGTGTCCTGGTTGTGTTTCTTGCGTTCAGGCGACTCCTGGATACGGAGGATGAACTCAGTGACATTCAGTCAGATGCAGTGCCTTCTGAGGTCCGAGACTGGCTGGCCTCCACCTTCACGAGGCAGATGGGGATGATGCTCAGAAGGAGCGAGGAGAAGCCACGGTTCAAGAGCATCGTCCATGCAGTGCAGGCTGGGATATTTGTGGAGAGGTAAAGATGGCTGTCAGTCAGTGACCAAAGCAGCAAAAGGGACACCAGTTTCCAATAACTGGAAGCTTTGCTTTGATGTAATTTTTGTATCTGTATAAACACTGAAAATTCTGGTGGAAATAGATAGTCTTGAAGGAGAGATTGCCAAAACATATTTATTTAATCTTTGTAGCATCATTAGGATAAGACTTTGCCTTTGCTCAGAATTCTTTTTGTTAACTAGATAAAATTTGGTTTAAGTTCAGTCTCCCATTTTTTAAAAAAGGACATCATCTAATCCATCATCCTTTGACATATGTGGAACAGGGCAGGGATGCCTTGAGGTTATTGACCCGGGGTGGGGGGGGCAGTTCATTTAAAGGCTTTGAGTTCCCCATGACACTTTCCAATTTTGTTAGCCATTTTGCTCTTTAAATTGCCCCTTCCCCAGAAATAGATTCCAGAAATTGATTTATTCTTCCTATAATCCTTATTACACAAATCAATTTATTCTTCCTATAATCCTTACCGTACATCTACAGGTTTTAGAAATGCCACATTCAGTTCGAAGTTCACCTGGGACATTTCCCTTCTTGTTTTTGACAGTTCTAAAGAACAAGCTCTTCCAAATGGGTTGCCCATAGGAGTTCCTCATTCAGGTTACTATCCATGCTGTACTATAATTCACTTCTAGTAGAAGAAGTGACCCATTTTAATAATTGAATTTACAACTTGGGGCCTGTCGGTTAATTTTTTTTTTGTTTCCAATGATTCATGTATTTGGGATTGCTTTAATTTCTCTTGAATGTAACCCTTTCTTAGGTCACTTGAGTGACTATGAAAAATGTTATAAAAAAACTGTTATGTTTTTTGTTCACCCAATGACATGACTTCTCATATTTGTCAGTGTAAGTCTGTGGCCTGCTAATTCTTTTTTGTAAGATATAATATTGCATGTTTCCCCTCTGACTTTGCCAGAATGTATAGACGAACATCCAACATGGTTGGACTGAGCTACCCACCAGCTGTTATTGAAGCATTAAAGGTAATACCAGAGAAAACGTCTGACAGTGTACATGGTATCCTATAAAAAGTAGTTACATTTGTTGTTAGAAAATAAGAGGCTTTCATTTATGGTTCACTTACAGGTTTCCCAGTCATCCCTGACTTATTTCTTTCATTATTTTTCACTTATCTGTTCTTGCAGTATCATGATCTTTCTGCCTTTGACTTGTTTTTTCTTTTTTTAAATCAAACTGTGCAAGTCTCATTTCTTTCTACATCACCATCAGAGGGATCTTTGGTGATTATAGTTGTATCATTATCTGATTATCTACTCTAAGTCCATTTTGTAGATGAGGAAACTGAGACTTGGTGAGATTTTTAAAAAGATACAGTTAGTTAATTAGAGGCAGAAGAACTAAGGTGTGATACCAGAGTTCCAATCACATAGTAAGTTCTCAGTAACATTTTACTGCCTGAATGTGTGTCCCCAGAACGTATATATCCTACTATTTACCCAAGACTCTCACAGAGCCTGAAAGTTCAATGGGAAGTTACACAGATGTTTGAGTTACAATGAGCTAAATCTTGCAGAACTACTCCCACTCAGGCAAGCTCTTAGAATTGTATAGAATATTCTCTAAGAGCCTCAAAGTGGATTCTTATGTATGTGTCAGTTCAGATCCACTGGTTTAAAGTCATCCTGGCTGTGCTAAAGCTGATTTGGCTTCTGGATTTGAGGGTGGGGCTGTGCTAAGGGCGAGGATCACTTGGCTGGTTGACATGGCATGATGTCTATACACAGAATCGAGTCAGGGGCGCCTGGGTGGCTCAGTTGGTTAAGCGACTGCCTTCGGCTCAGGTCATGATCCTGGAGTCCCGGGATCGAGTCCCGCATCGGGCTCCCTGCTCGGCAGGGAGTCTGCTTCTCCCTCTGACCCTCCTCCCTCTCATTCTCTCTCTCAAATAAATAAATAAAATCTTTAAAAAAAAAAAAAAAAAAAAAGAATCGAGTCATCCATTTGCTCAGGGACATCCTAGCATACCGACTAGTATGTGTGTGTGTGTGTGTGTGTGTTAAGATTTATTTATTTATTTATTTATTTTAGAGAAAGGGAGCATAAGTGGGAGGGACAGAGGGAGAGGGAGAGAGAACCCCAGACTCCCTGCTGAGTGTGGAGCCCGACGTGGGGCTTGATCCCACAACCCTGGGATCATGACTTCGGCCAAAACCAAGAGTAGGACATTTAACCAACTGTGCAACCCAGGTTCCCCATTCTGACTATTGTTATGGCTATCGGTGTCTATCTCTGAAACCTGAAACATGTATTACCTGATGATATTTTCAGAAGTTAACTTAAATTACCTACTCATAGAATCAGGGATGGGAGAGCTTCATGATCAACTTAATGTCAAGAAAAACTTTTAGGGCCATTTTGATTTTGTATTTCAGTCTCTTTCTCTTGCCTCAAAGACATTCACTAGTTGAATTTGTGAGACCCTATATTCAGATTCTCAGTTGTCCATTTTCTTTCTCTCTTTCTTTTTAACTACCTTTATTTTTTTTTTTAAGATTTTATTTATTTATTTGAGACAGAAAGAGAGAGCAGGGAGAAGGGCAGAGGGAGAAGCAGACTCCCTGCTGAGCAGAGAGCCCGATGCGGGACTCGATCCTGGGACTCTAGGATCATGACCTGAGCCGAAGACAGACGCTTAACTGACTGAGCCACCCAGGCCTCCATCCATTTTCTGTCTCTTAACTCATCCTAAGAACAGGAAAGATGCTCAAGAAGGATGCAGCAAGAAGACACATGTTTCCTCTCGCTCCTCTTTGGTCTCCCCACCAGTGCCCAGTGCACCCAGTGTAATTTACAGCCACATTTCCCATGTAATCAGTGAAATCACTGCATGAGAGCTGATGTTTCATAACACCCACTAGGAAGCTGCATTGATATTCATAACCAAACCCAAAACATTCAATGAAAATCTTAGGGACATTAAAAGAATCCTTTATATTTAATTTCTTCTCTTATCACGAACATAAATACAGATGTTTATACCAGTATTAAGAAATTTATAAAAATATTTCCTCTAGACTGGAGAATCTTTTCTATGCAAAATAATTGAAGAAAATGGGGAGCAACCTGGGATGTGCATGAATTGTTATTTCGTGCTTAGGGAAAAGTCATTCTCAGAAGCACACATGTCTTTCTGAGGGGAAAGGAACCTAGATGATTCAGACCAGGAATGAGTGCTAACTCTCCAAACTGCTACCCTTCTGCACAATTATTGAGGATAATATGCGTAAGGCTAGAGCTGCACTTTCTCCTGATCCTGTCCCCTATTTACTAGGAGAGTTTAAGATCTTTTTACAATGTAATATTTCCCCCCCTCCCTAGACTCTGGTTTAATCTGCAGTGGATTGAAGATGAGTTGGCGGGATGACACAGATATTTTCTTTTTTTAGGTAGTACCTGTTAAAAAACGGTTATTTCTACTACACTGCCAGCAGTTTATATGGAATGGCCATTACTTTGTTCTATTATAGGAAATTTCCCCAAAACTGAGAGAATACAATTCAATAAAATAACCGTCATGCCATGGTCATGTTAACCTTTGTGATTAATGTAAGAACATGGCATGAAATCACATTTAAGTAAGAGAATAATTAACTGCCACCTATCTCTAAATTTGACATATGTTGCTCTTTTGTTTTTTAAATTTTTTCCATCCAATATATGCTAGCTTCTGATTTGGGGAGTTTTATCTCTAGGCTTTTGAGGTGGGGTTATTGGAATTGTAGAAGTGTATTATTGTTTAGAAGGCGTCTGTTGTGTAACTTAGGAAGGGACACCCTGGGTAGACTCTAGGTTTAAAGTGGGAGGAAGAGAGGAGGTTCAGGCTTCCATTACTTTAGACTCATAAGAAGTTCCTGAAGTTTTTCCTCGAGAATGGGCCTTGGGCCATGTTTGGTAAGAGAGGCTTAAGACGGTTAAAGACAGTTAAACTAGGTGCTTGTTAAAAAATGCAGATTCTAGGTCCCAGGCCAGGATTCTGCAAATCCCTCAGCTGAGAATCAGCACTTTTTTCCTGAGCACCCCAGGTGGTTCTGAAGAACATGAAACTTTGAGAATCACAGCTAAGTCCCTTTTAAAAATGAGTAACAGGAGAGAACATGCCGCCGACTATTCACACTCATCCTCCTATTTCTCTAAGTTCTAATATTCTGAATAAATCATGACTTCTTACTGTGATCATTTCTGTATTTTCAGTGATAGCCTTTCTCTTTTTTATTCATTCTGGAGAATAAGAATAAAAATTGCAGACAGTGACAAAATGTTTTCTCACCTACTGAGTTGTCACTGGACTTTTCCTTAGGACATTAGGATGTCATGACAACGTCAATTTTAGTAGTTAAGGTGAAGCTTTAGGTGGCTTAGGCCCTATTGGGGTATTTAGGACATGAGGCCTGGGTCACAGCATATATTCATTGAGTTTACAATCTCATCTGTTGACAATGATGCCAGTGGGGTTATTACCTGGTTCTGCTACCAAATGGCATTAGACGCTTCCTTTCATCTCTCTGAGGTAGCCACCTGTAAAAGTGGGAAAAGTAACACCTATTTCTAAGGTTGTGAGGATTAGCAAATGTCTATAAACACTTCTCACTGTGCCTGGCACAGAAAATGTGCTCAGCTTGTAGCAATTTCTTTAGTTGTTATAATGGAGGAGAAATGCTAGAAGGCTGAGGTGAGGTTACCATGAAGTGCCAACTTTTTGGAAAAGTTTGGTTTTCCCTGTATGTACAGTTCAGTTTTCCTGTGCCCTGGTGTCCATGAGGAAGACCCTTAATGGCCTTGGGATGGTCTTCGGTTTTTGGGATGTTTGAGGAGGGACAGGGTTGGGATAGGTGGATGATGTTAGAATGCATTGAGGGCTGAGGTGAGAGCCACTCAGGCCAGCAGTTACAGAGGAGTCTCTTCCAGGGAACCCTCTGACTTTTCCTGGACTCAGTGTGGTCTCACTTGTGTCCTTACGTGGTCTCATATGTGTCTACTTATGACAGCACACTTTCTATAACTACTGAAAGTGAAACTTTTTTTTTTTAAGATTTTATTTATTTATTTGTCAGAGGGAGAGTGAGCAGGGGGAGCGGCAGGCAGAGGGAAAAGCAGGCTCTCCGCTGAGCAAGGAGCCCAATGTGGGATTTGATCCCAGGACCCTGGGATCATGACCTGAGCCGAAGGCAGACGCTTAACCAACTGAGCCACCCAGGCGCCCCTGAAAGTGAAGCTCTTGACACAAGAAACCAAATGACTATTGCTTTGGCTATTGCTTAACCACACCTTTGTTTACTACATCCACAAGTATCTGGTTGTAAGTCAAAGACACATCAGACAATGTTTACATATATTTTGGGGTAGCTATTTATAGACAAATAAGGCTTTGAACTTCAAGACTGATGTGTGAGGAGTGCTTAGCTCTTAGTTTTACTTTTTCTAGTAAAGTGACTTACAGATTTGAGGACTAGGTTCTCAGATCAGTGCCTCCAGAAGTGGTAGCATTTTTCTGTTTCATGAAATGAAGTCTTTCTCTGTGATTTTAGCTCAGCAGTTTGAACTGAAGGGACACATGATTTGTATTCTATATCACACATGTTTCTGAATACTTTCAAGTGGGTTAACATTCTCAACTGTGGACTAAGAGGAAGTCAGTAGGTAATAGTAAGGGACTGGGGAGAAGTTTGGAGTAGGGAAGCACCTTAGGTTTTCATGAAGTGAAATAAACATTTGAAATTCAGCAGTGGTAGTGACAGGCTTAATGGAAAGGGCCTGAGCTTAGGCATCTATTGACCATGTTTGTATGCTGGTCCCACTTGTGTCCCTAGCACTTCACTTGTGATGGGTCTTAGGGAAATTAACTTCTCAGTTTTCTCATCAGAAAGATGTGACTAATAATATCTGCCACTTAGAGTTGTTTTCAGGATACATTATGTATTTATCACGGATCACAATGCCTCGCATTTGGTAGGCACTCAATAAATTATAGCTGTTGTTATAAGTAGTAAGACTATTTAATTATTTTATCAGTAAATGCTATGCAGGTCTGCCAAGTTGGGAAAAGTTTGAGGGCAGAAATGGTGTTAGAGTCTTGGTCTATGAAATCCTGGGTGAAGGTTGCAGGGCGACTCCCCAAGTGGGGAGACGGGTAGCTGTACGAGTGGCTGTGGACTAATGCAATCTTTCTCCCTGCCCTGCCGTGCAGGATGTGGACAAGTGGTCCTTTGATGTCTTTTCTCTCAATGAGGCCAGCGGGGATCATGCACTGAAATTCATTTTCTATGAATTACTCACACGTTATGATCTGATCAGCCGTTTCAAGGTCAGTGCCTACTTTTAAAAAATGCATGCATTTTTCCATTTTTTCTTTTTTGAAGATTTTATTTATTTATTTATTTTAGAGAGAGAGCGAGCGAGAGAGCAGGAGTTGGTGGGAGTGGGGGAGGCAGAAGCAGACTCCCCACTGAGCAGGGAGCCCAATACGGGGCTCGATCCAGGGACTCCAGGATCATGGTCTGAGCTGAAGGCAGGTGTCCAGATGCCCCACATTTGTCCATCCTTCCATGACTTTTGGGGTAAGACCAAGACCCTCCTTCCATGACTTTTGGGCTAAGACATCCTTTTAACATAGACTGAAAACTGTTATAGGTGACTTGGGAAGATTCATCCAGACAGCCACTGCCCTGAACTCCATGGTGGTGGGAACTTTTCCTTAAGCCCTTGCTGGGTGGGGCTCATAGCAGGTGAGAGAGGTTGGAACCACCCAGTTGGATCCCAGTCTTCCTAGAAGTACAGCCCGAAGTGGGGACTAGCGGAACTCCTGAATTGCTCTCCCCGCAGATCTCATTTCAGCCTGATTTGGTGTACTGTCGATCACTGCTGGCATGGAGACAGTAATGGAGACAGAGTGTGCATCTGCTGTCTCTGCAGACTTTTTTTCCCACCACTTGGCTCAAATTCAGACAAATGCTCTCACTTATCATCCGTGACAGATCATCAGTATTTCCCAGCCATTCATGCTTCAAATTAATTCTTCCAACTTTAAGTAAAGAGCATGAATTGTTTTCAGTGTTCAATCCCCTCTGCTTTGTAATACCATGGACTCTAGAGGTCCAGCCAGATTCTCCAGGGAATCTGTGCATTCATCTGGTGACATCTATCGTATCATGCTCCTCAGAGTTCTCTCATCATGGGGATGAGCCCCTGGAAAATGCAGGGTTTTTTGAATATAAGGTATTGATTTCTCTAGACAGCACGGTTCTTTATCACTTTCCTATGGACTGTGTACTTGGGGGCATATTTCCTACATAGCCATAAATACTTTATGGCAGTGGTTCTTAATTTCTTTGTGCAGAAATCGGCCTGAAAATCTGGTGGATGCTCAGGACCCTTTCCACAGAACAAAACTCTCGTGCACATATGCACACCTTTACCTAGCATTTTCGTGTCTCATGGATCTCTCATGAACAGCCCAAAGAACCTGGGGTTATTGGATATTCATTTTAAAAACTGATAGTGAATTAATCTCTGGCATATGAGGCAATATTTAAATTTTTAAGAATCCACAAATGGTAAATATAGAAGGATCTACTCAAGGAAGAACATCTTATAGGCTCTCACGAAGCATTACAGTAAAGTATTTTCCTTATATTTTTTTCTTCCTGACGTGATTATTGGTCTCCTGGAACCTACGCTCTCTCTTTTTACCCCAGGGTTGTATTTGGTGATTAACCCTAAACCAAGGAATTAACCCAGAAAAGAAATACAATGAATGTTTTCAGGGTCTCCTTCTTTTGTACAGACATTTTGCAGTTGTTCTTTATTTTCTGCCACATAGAAAATGAAGGTATGTATATTATACATATTTGAGACAGAACAGGAATTAGGCTACAATTCCAAATTCCAATGCAACGATAATAAATTGCCAAGTAATAGACATAAGAACGCAGTCTGTTTCTGTTCTTATATATAACAGGCTATCACATGTTTTGTTTTGTGTTTTCTCCGTGTGTCCAGCACATACAATCATTCCTAAGGGCACAGTTTTCAGGAGGTGGCAGCTTGTGGTTGTTTTGCAATCATTTTACAACTTAAGATCCTTATGTACTTTATGTTTTCCCACAAAATAAATGAAATGTGCTACACAGTATGTATCCATTTATTTCTCAAGAAATAAAAGACTTGAACCTTTGCTTGAGAAATAGGTGAACACATACCCTTCTGCCCTAAATATCTTTGAGACAATTCTGGGGTTCTGGACTGAGAACAACAACAACAACAAAAACAAAAACAATTTGCAGGGCAGACTGTTCTTAAACCAGGGACTTCCTGTGAGATTTTCAAATCATCTGATAATTCCTTCAGTAGTTTTAACTAATTTTTAAAAGTTCTGATTTCTTCATGTGCCATGTTATGCTCCCAGAAAGAGGCAGCTCGAGTGCCTTAGACTTGTGCTTCCTCACTGAAAGCTACCAAATCACTGGCTACTTAACCTTACTGCTCTCTTTCAGATCCCCATTTCTGCCCTTGTCTCATTTGTGGAGGCCCTGGAAGTAGGATACAGCAAGCATAAAAATCCGTACCACAATTTAATGCATGCCGCCGACGTTACGCAGACTGTGCATTACCTCCTTTATAAGACAGGGGTAGCGGTAAGTACTGATAGGAACTCTTAGATTACACAAAAGATGTGATGATGGTTCTTTTTACTGGAGGCTGTTCCTATTCTGATGAGGTTGAGCCCACAAGAAGTGCGTTGGTGCGTGGACTTCCTGCTCCCCAAGAGTTGTCTAACCAATCACCGAAGGTCTTGGGGTTCCTTATGGCCTCTGATATTTTCTCCATCCTGGACTTGATGAAATAAATATGTGGTAGTGACTTGCATCTTTATTAGGCTATGACCATATTTTAAATATGATTTCTAGAACCAAGTATGTATTTCCAGATGTGGAGAGTGGTACTATTAACCTCTTGCTGTGGTCAATCACAATGCTATCCATGCATGCTGAAATCATATCAAGTATGCCTGGCGACCACACTGCACACAGGTAGCTTTTGGTTTAAACCATTTGATATTTTTCATGAGGATTATTGATTATTCTCATCGTATGTATGTGTGTTCAATTTGTTTGACCTCAGGAGCAATCTTCACTTCTAATCATTTGAAAATTTTCTTACTTGTTTTGACCCAACATTTCAGCTCTTTAGATGTTTTTGAATCCCTGTTCTGTAATCCATTGTATGAACTGGCCTGTTTAACTTGGTTATCTCTGCCTTTGCCCTCTTTGCCTTGATGAAAGCTGTTAATTTTACAAGATAGAGCTATTAGTGATGAACAGCTAGTTCTCTATGTTAGGTCTCTATGACTTTTTCCTTTGAAATCTTCAGAGTCGACATCAAGGTAGACATTGTTTGGCTATGGTTATTAATTAGCCCATAAACTCAACACATTTGTTATTTTTTCCTCTAGGGCATGTTGAAAGGCTTGGTCTAATATCTCACTGAATTAAAAATGGAACACAGTGGGAGGAGTGTGGGCTTTGGAGCTAGATATAGTGGGATATAAATCCTTGAGTAATTACTTATTAGATTTAGTGACCTATGATAAATTGCTTAAATCTCTGAGTCAGGATTTCCTCATTTTTAAAATGGTGAAAAATATTCTATCTTATAGAAATACTGTGGCGGTTAGGAATAAACTATCAAAAATAGGAAGTGCTCTGTCTGCCTCATGAAGGAAGCACAACAGTTAGAAATTGTTGTTAGTAAAACTTTGCTGGATTTTCTCATAACCTCTCAACAATTTCAGTTCTTCTTTATTGTAAAGCTGGCTTCTTAAAAATATTATTTTAAAAAGCTATAATTTTTTAAATTGTAGAAACACTATCAAGGGGACCTGTTTAATGTGATAAAAGATTTCTGTCAGAAGCATAGAGCAGACTTAGTTAATGGTGGTTCCTTGAAAACATGGAGCAAAACGGGGATGGCCACACTAATGTTGCGACTGAGCATTTTTCTGGAGGTCTCAGCCAATGCAATGTAGTATCTAAAAAAGTTGAAGAAGTATCCTGTGAAAATAATTTGACCATCTCTTTTAAAAGATCAAGAAAATCCAACTACAAATTATTAGGTCAAATAAAAGGCCTCAATCAGAGGTAGAAAAAATAACTGTCCAAGGCACCTGAGTGGCTCAGTAGGTTAAGAGTCTGCCTTTGGCTCAGGTCATGATCCCAGGGTCCTGGGATCAAGTCCCACACTGGGCTCCTTGCTCAGCAGAGAGCTGCTTCTCCCTCTGCATCCCGCCCCCACTAATTCTCTCTCTCTCAAATAAATAAATAAAATCTTTTAAAAAATAGCTGTCTTAAACATTGGAAATTAACGAGTATAATAGAGGAACATACATTCCAGAGAGTTTTTTTTTTAAATTGATAAGTTACTAATGAAGAACTTCAAAACTGATAAAAAGGAAACCGTAAAACTAAATTAAAGAGCAGAAAAACAATGTTTAAATAAGAAAGGAAATACATTATGTTTTTAATGCAAAGCTTCAGTGTTATATAGATGTCAATTTTCTTCAAACTGAGCTGTAAATTCAAAGCAATACCAATAAAGAATAATGAAACATGATAAGCTGAGTCTGAAATATATGGAAAATAGATATTTCACAACTTTAGAAAAAAGAGTTTTGAAAAAGACAATGTATGCCGTGGTATAGTTCTTATTCTACTAGGTGTTAAAATATCTACTGAAGCTGTAGTAATAAAGACAGGGTGGTATTTGTGCAAAAATCACCAAATATATGAATGAAGTTGAGTAAAGTTTCAAAAACTAAGCCCAAATATTTATTGAGCACAGTTTTGATTTAGACATGTTGAGTTTCAGGTCCTTATTAGACATCGTTGTGGAAGTGTCAAGCGGGAAGAGAATGAATGGAATCGGGAGTTCTGGGTAGAGGTCGGGGTGGACATGTAGATTAGGCAATCTTGGGCATATCAATATTATAGAAAGACATGGAATTAGTTGAGATCATCTGAAGAGCGAGTGTGAATAGAGAAGTAGTAAGGGCTCTGAAGTGAGTGCTGGAACAGCCTAAAGTTTAAAATGAAGGTAAAGAATTAGAGCCAAGAGTAGTAACTAAAATGGAGCGGTCAGTGACATTGGAATAAAAGCCAACAGTGTGGGCATGGAAGCCAAGGAAAGTAAGTGCTTCAAAAGAGAATAGTGAATTGTATGGGACGTGCCAAAATGTCAAATAGGATGAGGATAGACAAGTGACCACTGCCTTTGGCAACATGGAAGTCATTAGTGGCCTTGGCATGAGTGGTCTCAGTGCTTTGGTGAGGATGGACCACTGACAAGAGTATAATGAAGAAAGAATTCAGGTGAGAAGGTAAGAACACATCTATAGACAACAACAGGGAAAATGACTCAGGTCAAAAAATGTTTTGGGAACTATGGTTCATTTAGGGAAAGAAAAGAATGTTTTTGTTCTACTTTAAATCAATCATCTAATATTGGACCAATGAATTAAAGATTTGAATACAAAAAAATTTGATCATATGAGAATATGTTTATTCCTTGAAACAGGAAATTCTCCTATAAGCCTCAAAACACAAAAGTTATATAAAAATATTGATTAAACTGAGTGTAAGAAAATTAAAACCCATAGGATAAAAAGAATCATCATAATGATGTAAGTACTTGAGGAAAATATGGGATTAAGATCCAGATGATATAAAGGAATCAACAAGAAAATGACAGAAATTCAGGAAAAAAATAGGAGTTAAGATTGCCCTGTTATAAAGTCTCTGTCATAGGCGGAATTTTGTCTTCCCCCTCCCCCACCCCCAGATTATATTGTTGAAAGTCCTAATCTCCAGTGCCTCAGAATGTGACTGTATTTGGAGATAGGGTCTTTAAAGAGGTAATTTAGGTCACGTGGGTGGCCCTGATCCAGTATGACTATTGTCCTTCTACAAAGAGGAGATTAAGATTGCAGACATGCGCATGCACAGAGGAAAGACCACGTGAGGACATGGCACAAAGAGGACCATCTGCAACCTGGGAAGAGGACACTCACTGCAAACCGACTCTGCCAATACTTTGATCTTGGACTTCTAGCCTCCACACTGTGAGAAAATAAAATTCTGTGGTTTAAGCCGCCTAGTTGGTGGCATTTTGTTTTAGCAGCCAAGCAAACAAATAGAGGAGCCAGGACTGACTTCTAACGCCACGCATTTAAATATTTAGCTATATTTCTACAATGCCTGTGGTAAAAAAAAAAAAAGAGCCCCTGATATTCTTGCACCTCAGTATCCTCATGTGATACTTGAAAGTATCCTGGTGAGGATCAACATAGATGGCAAATGTACTTTGGACTCATCTATTTCAACATATATTTAGTCAGTACCTGCTGTGTACAGTATACTATGGAGACATAAAGGTAAATCATACACAGCTTTTTTAGCCCTCAAGAAAAACTCCCAAGTATTTATGCTAATGCAAGTTATCATTAACGTGAATGTTACAGCAACCAATGATCATGATGTACTGCATGCTGTTCTTAAATGAGCTCATTTGCCGTTGAATTTTCATTATCAATTCAGGCCATATTCAGAATCATTCTTAAATATAGAAACTACTTCCCGCCCCCTCTCTCTTGGAAATGCAGCTCAAAACAAACTTCTTTCATTGCAAGCTTACAGAAATGGTGGGGAGCATTCTGATGAATGGAGAACATATTGTTACTCTAACCTTTCATTACAAACCAAGAGGGGGAAATGCTTTAAATCATTTCAGTTTTATAAACTGTAAGACACATAGGGAATCAAAACATCCCATTGATAAAGTGATGCCTGGTCTTCAACATCAACAGTATTACTCATTGTAATCTGTTTATATTACTCATTATTGCTTTACTTAGACGCCGAGAAGATGCTTGAATCCTTTCAGAATTATTTTGCCCACTTTTAAAGGAAAAATCCCTGAACAGGATTAGACTAAAAAGTTGTTGATTGAATAAATATGAATCAGACTTTGAGCTCCGGTCAAATTTTGATTTAGGTCAAAGGATTCCAAACTCCAAAGCCATCCCTTGGCCCCTTTCATTGCTTTGTCAGGCAAGTGCCATTAATTTTCCTCTTGCTTATTTTTTTTTTTTAAAGGGGAGAGGCTGTGTATCTTGTTCTTTTGATCATATATGCCATCATCATATTTATACAGGAAACACTAAATGGCTAAAGAGTGCTAAATAATTTTATTAGTGTTTGTGGTCAGCAGAATTTTGGCCCCCATGACCTTTGCCCTCTGTCATAACACTTACTAATGTCACATTAGATGGCAAAACACTAATACAATGAAGGTCACTAATCAGAGGACCATAAAGTAGGGAGACGAGCCTCAATTCCCCAGGTGGGCCCAATGTAATCTTGTGGGTCCTTGCAAGCCAAGAGGCGTGACGAGGAGCTGTGAGGACTCAACTGGCTCTTGCTAGCTTGAAGATGGAGTGAGCCAAGTGGAAAGTTTGAGTAGGAAATGATTTTTGCCAATGCCTTGAATGTACCTGGAAACAGATTTTTCCACAGAGCTTCCAGAAAAGAACACAGCCCTGCCAACGCTTTGATTTCAGCCGTGTGAGATCCTCACTGGAAAAATCCAGCCACACTGTGCTGCCTTCTGACCTCCAGAACCTTGTGCCAATAAATGGGAGATGTTCTTTGAGCCTTAAGTTTGTGGTAATTTAAGGTAGCAATAGAAAACTAATACAGGGGTGGAAACATTACTAAAGAAACTGTCATTCACATACAAAACCCACAACTTGAGAATAATGTCCCCTCGAGCAGTTTTGCCCATGTCGTTTTCCTTCACGTGTCCACTGACCCCCATTTGCCCCTATGACCATGCACACTGGGCTTGCTTCCTGAAGTCCACCACTACCAGTTGTCCCTGTCATTGAATTAGTTGTGACACTCATTTTTTGTAGATAGGAAATACGGACAGGATCTGTGGCTTGTGCCTTGTCTCAGTTCGATAAATCTGGAATAAAATTCATGTGGGACTTAATTTCTTATTTCTTATGGGTTGTCATAAAATCTTCTGGATTCACAGTAATTAACTTGGAAAAGGCAAGAATATCTGGACCATATTAAAATATGAAGCTTTGCGGGGCACCTGGGTGACTCAGTTGGTTAAGCATCTGCCTTCAGCTGAGGTCATGATCTCTGGGTCCTGGGCTCCCTGCTCAGTGGGGAACCTGCATCTCCCTCTCCCTCTGCCCCTCTCCTCCCCCCACACCCCCCTTGTTTAAATCCTTGAGGGGTACAACATAACATGGGTTCTGTGTCCAAAGGCCTTAGCAGGAAGGTTGCTTTGGAATTTGGCATGAATCATGTCACTGTTTCCATGAGCATGAGTTACCTTTCCTCAGACTACTCTGGTTTCGTTGGGTTCACCACCAGGAATCATCTTTTCCTTTGTACACATGAGTACTCTCTTGCCTACATGGAATTCGGTTTCATCTCGAGTATAAACACTTCCAGAGACCTTACTTAGAGCCAACAGACATAGCCTCAGACTACAGTGTTCCAGACATATTTGTCATTTTAGAAGTTCTGTTCCAAGCAGGGCTCGACAGGCTCCAAGATAGCCTTTTAATCTTATTTTAAAATGTTAAGTTAACTTCATGTAAGTTTGCAGAAAGAGCTATATTGGTGGTTGGGGGGGGGTGGGTAGGTAGAGGGAGTTGAGGCTGATGGGTGGGGACAGGGTACTGGGGAAGAATTGAAAGACATTGCCAAAATGAAAAAAAATATATATGTATGGAAAATATCAAGAACATGTGTAATATAAGCTGCCAGGTGATGCTACCTCTGAGGGTCCAGGGAACACAGTTTGAGAACCTTGGACTACAGCCAATTTTGGTGGCATGGTTGGGGGTGGGGGGTCTCTTCAAACATCAGCATGCATAAGGCAGAAGGCCAGGTGTTATCTTTCCTCTGTCTACAAATACCCACCTTCTAGTAGGTAGACAGATTTTCTGTTACTTTTAGTTCTGGTATTGTGTTAAAATTTTTAATATATATTTTTTTCTTTTTTCTTTTTTTTTTTTAAAGATTTTATTTATTTATTTGACAGAGAGAGAGATAGCGAGAGCAGGAACACAAGCAGGGGGAGTGGGAGAGCGAGAAGCAGGCTTCCTGCCGAGCAGGGAGCCCGATGTGGGACTTGATCCCAGGACCTTGGATCATGACCTGAGCCGAAGGCAGACGCTTAACGACTGAGCCACCCAGGCGCCCAATATATATTTTTTTCTATGTCTACCTAAGAACTTGACTTGGAATTTGGGAAAGAATACAATGAGGGTTTTTAAAGTCTTCATGTTCCTTGATTTTTGCTTCCTTGAAAAAAATAATAAAACTACTAGTTAGCTTTCTCAACCTTGCTGGGCAAGCTACTTCCAAATACCATATCCCCCGGTCTCCTCATAGGGGGAAGAAAATTCCGTCTGTCAGAAAACATGTGTTTGGCAATAGCTTGCCAGCTGCAGGGTAGAAAGGCAGCGACGCGGGTATGTTCGGCAAGCTGAAGACTTTGTCTGAGAAAGAGACAGATTATCTGATTGCCCTGCAATCTCCCTTTCAGAACTGGCTGACAGAGCTGGAGATCTTTGCTATCATCTTCTCAGCTGCCATCCACGACTATGAGCACACCGGAACCACCAACAATTTCCACATTCAGACACGGTGAGGATGCTGGATGTTTGCGAGGAGGCAGGAGGGGGTAGGGGTAGAGTTTGAGAAGTCAGAAAGGTATCAGTCACCTTTCTTTTGCATGGTTTACTCTATTTTGCATTTCTGAAGAAATGAACTTTTCAACAAGACATCAACGGGGTCAGCTTCAGTCAAGATTTAGAGTTTGAGAAGTCATCTGCTCCCAATGCTCATATGTTATTCACATCAAATATGGATATCCTTTTCTTCTCTATTGGAATGCTAGCTATTTGTTTCCTTATGTATGTATCGTGCATACTCTATTTCTACTAGAACAGTTGGCAAAAAGGTGCAGATGCCATGTAGACTGAATCAGTGAGGATGGGCCAGGATTGGGATGTTTCTGTCCACATGTCCAATACCTGAGCCTTCTTGCCCTGTGACCTCTGGGATTCTGGGGACACGCTTCTCATCCTTCCTGATTTCATCCCTGCTCTTTTTTGGTGCTTGCATTGCTCCCTGGCAGAGGGCTTGGGGAGCTAGGTTGTCTCATGCAGACTGCCTTCACCATAGATAATCTTTGTACCCACTATGATGAACTTCAGAGGTAAACACAGATCTCTGTGGGGGGAATTAAGTATGGGTCCAAGTGCCCAACTCTGAACCTCTTGACTATAACAGACATCACTCATCAATTTTCTTTAAACCAAGCTTCGTATTTATCTTTAGTGTTCCTCTCAGCACAGAATTCCAGGCAAGCAGTACCAGTCACTTGTCTTTTCCATTTAGGGTGAAACTTTGTCCTGTCCTAGCCTAAGAACTTACCTTCTCTTAAGACAATTCTATGAAACTGGAGAGACTCTGATAGTAGGGTTAATTGGGCCTTGACGTAGTAATCAAAAGAAGTTAGAATTTGGGGAAAGATGGCATGGCTAAGAGGAAGAATGTAGCAGGGAGAGATGAGAATTTAAATAAATACTTGCGGTTTCATTTGAAAAAAGCAGGTGCACACGCCAGATAGGTTTGTGTTCATTAAATCAATCTACATGTATTTAATGAACCCAACACTTAATTATGGGGTACACAAAAGAAGACAGTATTGTCTGATCTCTGTTCAGAAGGGGAATTTCAATAGCATGGCAGCAGACAAAAGGATGTAAGCCGCCAGCTTCATCGTCTACCTCCCGCTTCCTCACACAGAAGAGCCTCAGCTGCTGGGAAGCCGCCTTTTGTGGTTCTGTTGCAAGGGCTTTAAATACAGGGAATTCCACAGAGCAGCTCTGTTTAGTGGATATCTGTGAGTGGAATCTTTGCTCTGAGGACAGAGGCTGTGGTGAATAACACCTGCTGACGGAAGAGAGGTGGGTGGAGCAACTGTACATGGGTCTTTGCTGGAGACCAATATCAAAACCCATCTTAACTCAGAGGAAATGGCTTAATTACAGCAGCTGGAAAAGAGCTTAATGTCACAAAATATACATCAGTTGGAGCCTGACTTAACAGATACGTGATCAGATATTTCACCACAGGGTTTGCATGTTTTGTGTTATCTCCATAGGAGTGAGGAAATTCCAGTGGATTCAGTTACGCTTGCTTTGGAATAAAATTTAAGCATTGGTCTTCTTTAATAGAACTTTATTCAAAGCATCTCAGCCTGTGTGAGCCCTATACAGAAAACTAAATCCGTAACCAGGTTCTTTGTCCTTTGATGGTATGTTAAGCCTAACATTTTAAAGGTATGCTAGGTATATCCCAAAAATTGGCCAATGACAGGCACAAGTTACGGTGGGGACCAGTGGCCGAACTGTCAGAAGACCTTCCTTCATCCCAACCCCGCCACGTACGCACTGTGGGGCTCTGTGAAGTCATTTTACATCACTGAGACCCAGCTTCCTTGATGAGAAACAAATAAGCTGTAATAATCTAAGTTTTCATTAAATTGAAGATACTGAAATAGTGTACAGCTCTGTGTTTGGTGCAGTGGTCTGTGAGGAAGTGATTAGCAACTGTCCTATAATCCTTATATTCTTCACCCTCAATCTTACACATATGGCCTCCACATGGCAAAATGTTAAGGTCAAGGTACTATCAGAGGAACTTGGCAAACTGTACCTACCAAGTGGTATGTGTTCAGAGAATTGTAACGATAATAAATAAATTCTCTCATTGAATAAAATTTTTAAAAAACTTAAAGGCATTCCAGAAAATACAAGGAAGTTTGAGTTGACCCATGTTTTATGAAATCCCCTATGCTACTAGTAGAAATCATTGACATCTGGTTATGGAACGGCTTTCAGAGAGTTCTCAGGTTGGATATCACATATTTCAGGTTAACATATTGACATTAAACTACCCTACATATATCTACCGATAATTTGTAGTGTTGGTTTTAGCTTATTGGTTGACATAAGTGGCATATGGGGGCAAAGATAATTGTTGAACATAGGGAAAAAGATGGTGTATTCTAGCTTGAGAGAGTCACCTGAAAAATCTCAACCGTTTAACATCCTAAATTATTTTGCTTGGCTTTCTGTTCAGGTCTGACCCTGCTATTCTGTACAACGATAAGTCTGTATTAGAAAATCACCATTTAAGTGCAGCTTATCGCCTTCTGCAAGAAGATGAGGAAATGAATATTTTGATCAACCTCTCAAAGGATGACTGGAGGTAAGGATGAGACAGGAGAGAGATTTGGAGCCTAGGAAGGGAACCATGAGGAGAGATGAAGTATGCCGCTTTTGGAGAAATAATACCACTTGAACTGTTTATGGCACCCTTTCTCTCACCTCCTTTCTCTTCATCCCCTGTCTCCTTCCCTCTCTCCTCCCAACTCGTTCTCTCCCTTTTCTCTCTCTCTCCCTGCCTTCTCTCTCTTTCCTGCCTTCTCTCTCTCTCTTTTTTTTTAACACAAATATTAGAATATATTATAGGCACTTTGGAAATACTTGCTGCTTGTTACCTTAGGAAACTTGTGTTGCTCTTGTCTTAGCTTCTTAAATCTGAGTTTTTTTCTTTTAGCATTCATTTTTCGCCTTCCATTTGATTTGAACTTCTTTTGAAAATCTTTCAAAACTGCGCTAAGGAAATTATTTTGACACTCAAAAATTATTTCTAATTCTATTGCCTAAATGACATTGTGTGTTTTTGAATGAATTTCGGCACACCTGAGTTTGAATATGGGCACAATTACTAGTTGTATGGCATTTAGGAAGTTACTTAACCCCTTCACACTGTTTTAAAATTTAATTTCTAGAAAATAGATGATAAAATTTACCTCTTGGTTTGGTCAATGTTATAATATATGATATAATCCATTTAAAATGCTTAACACACATTGTGATGTATATAGCAAGCCTGCAAGTCTTTGTAGCTATAAATACAGATAAAGGTGTTTCGAAAATTAGAGGCAAAACCATTTAAATCCTTACAAAGTTCTGAATCTACTGTGTTGCAGATAGTACTTATATTTTAATTAAATGATCAGCTGTTCATTGAATATCTTTGTGCTAGCCATTATGTAAAGATTCAGAGAAATAAGCCATTCTGAGTGATAATGTACATTCCACATGTCATATTCCTAATTAATGATTTCCTTAATCCTTAACCTTCACTTATTCCTCATAAAAAAAAAGCCCACCTAAAAAGCTCAAGTTGATTAGAAATGTGACCACTAATTAACTGATTTTGCTTAGAAGTGGCAAAGAATATAAGCGAATTTTTACTTTCCATTTTTTTACTTCCATGCTTCTCTCTCCACGGGGTGTCCCTGAAAGGGAGTTTCGGACCTTGGTAATTGAGATGGTGATGGCCACGGACATGTCCTGTCATTTCCAACAAATCAAAGCAATGAAGACTGCTCTGCAACAGCCAGAAGCGTGAGTGGACCTGTGACATCATGTGTTTTTATAGGTGTTTGAACTGGTACTTGTGCATGTTGTTGCACCTTCTTCGGAGAGCTTCACTGAATGGTCTCATGAAGTGGGGCTGGTGGAGGAGAGAGCATGGCAGGTGTACACATCACAGACAGATTTTCATCAGGGTTGAAATAAATAATAGGGCCAGTAACAATTTGCCCCCAGGTAAGAATTTCAAAGAATTCTTTGTGGGAAACTAAGTAATCAAAGATTCACTCAGTACAGGGGCAACAAAAGTCAGTGAGTGACTCTTAGATTCTTGTTGTCTTTTTGAATGATGCAGTCATTCCAGAAGTCATTTGGAGTCTGTTTATGAGGTGTCCAGTTCAATAAGCATGGAGACTAAGCTGATGAATATCCCAGCTGTAGGATGAAATGATGCTTTCCCCCCAGTTCAGCTGACATGGGGTTTGAGATGGGAGAATGGAAGAGATGAAGAAATTAATGATTGTTAAAAACTCTTATTGAGGTTCTGAAAGTTTGGTCATCACATGTTTGGGTCCTTTGGGTTTATAGAATTGAAAAGCCGAAAGCATTATCCCTGATGTTGCACACGGCGGACATTAGCCATCCTGCAAAAGCATGGGAGCTCCATCATCGCTGGACAATGTCACTCCTGGAGGAATTCTTCAGACAGGTATCTTGTGCTACTCCTCAGGGCTGTCAGCACTAGATAGTTTCTGAGTTTTATATTTCAGCAATGCTATAATAAGACAATTGGCATTACAATAATTTTCTTTGGGGAGGAAGGGTTCATAGCTTTTTTTTTTCTTTTTTAAAAAAATTTCCTGGCCTCTTGCTTATGTGATGTTTGACTCTTACCTAAATTTTGGTTCTCAGAACATCATGGTATTTCTGTCCTATGCATTTCTGTTTGGAAAAAATAAATCCTTTTTGTCAGTTTTTTGTCAAAATATCATCTGGATACTTTCCCTTTTACTCCTCATTCTAATGGGTTGACCAAATTTTGGTTGCTTTTACATCATTGTGTGGGATTAAGATGCTAATCTTTAACTCATAATGATCTGTTACAGTAGATTGGGTTGTTTCTTTTGAGCAGATAAGCCATGTTGTCAAATTCCAAAGTGAGGTGTGGCAATTTGTGGTCAGGAAATCACTAGAAGCTATTGTTTCAATTATATTTAAAAATACTACATCCTAAGACACAGGGTTGTGTTTTCTACAAGGGTAGCCAGAGTCTTTAGTGAGTAGGCAGTGCTTGAAAATTAAATTAAAAAAAAGGTACACAGAAGTAGAGAAATCGGAAAATTAATACATAGTATCAAAACTGACGTCTTCTCAAGAAGAGCTGCCATTAAAACAACTGCTTCAAGATATGAGGTCCTGAGATTGAAGGCAAGATGACATGCAGACTGTGGGGCCTAAATTATAGCCAACTCACATCAGTACAGTTAATTCAGTTACCTCTGGTTACTTCAAGAAGGGTGGTTCACGTCATGGACTGGGAGACCTCTGAGACTGCACAGAATACTACTCGTGACGCCAGTCTCAACTTTGTCCCCTAAACTGACAAGAGATAGGCTCTTTCAGTGGCTACTTGATTTTTTGAAGCAAATTACTCCTCTATGATTACTCTTATTCTGTGACTCTGGTTTGAATGGAAAAATTGTAGAAGGCGTCTGTATGTGTGTGTTTTTTCTTCTGAAACTGTACACAATATCTAGTGATGAGGTGGGACCAGAGTCAACAGCATATTCAACAAAAGACCCTACATTAGAGTTTTTATTCCAGCTGGTTCATGGGACTAATCAAATCCCGCTTCTAGTTCCCAATGGTCTTATCTGTGACTTGTGTTTTAGGAGGTGGTGGCGGTGGTGGCTGGGGGGTGGAGTGGGTGGGATTTAGGGGAAGGTTGGGCCAGATGTTTCCTTAGGGTCCTTCTGGCATTAAATGTTCTACACTTAGGGCGCCTGGGTGGCTCAGTTGGTTAAGCGACTGCCTTCGGCTCAGGTCATGATCCTGGAGTCCCTGGATCGAGTCCCGCATCGGGCTTCCTGCTCGGCAGGGAGTCTGCTTCTCCCTCTCCCACTCCCCCTGCTTGTGTTCCCTCTCTCACTGTGTCTTTCTCTGTCAAATAAATAAATAAAATCTTTAAAAAAAAAAAAAAAGTTCTACACTTAATCCTTCATACTGTCCAGGGGTGCACATCAACACCTGCACACACACATGCTCCCCTAAGCTATTATGTGAATATACCATCAGGTACCCTATTCTGCATATGGCTGTTTCCCCTCGCAAAGTCATTGCTTGGTCTCAGACTTGTTCTCGAGGAGAACCCAGTGGTGTGCGAGGAACTAGAGCTGGACAGGTGGGCCTTGTATATACAAGAATGACTCTGCCATTTTTCCGGAAGCTATTCTGTTAATATTAGTGAGAGGATTTTCTGTAAATAACCACTCCCCATTATCATATGCTTTCTTTAATATTGCTTGAGCAATAACACCCCCTATGGCTGGGAGTATTTAATCTACAGCCAAAGGTAGGTGATAGCTAACTCATGTAAGTGTGAGGTACTGAAGTGATTCCTTCTTTTAATTGTGAGTAGATATGAGAAATATCTTAAATATGTGCACATTTTTTCCCATAACGGAAACCTTGTTTGTATACACATATGCTTGAATTGAATGAAAAGGTGCTAGAGGCAATGTGAAAATAACCTTATTGAATTTCTTGCCTATTGGGAATGGAATGTTAGCTCACTGGACTGGAACTATTTTTTAGTAATTATGATTCAGTAAATTATTTTTATTGACTTAATATTTTAACCCAGATGCCATAAGCCATTGTAAGTAACCCATGGAGGAGAAACGTTGCCTCAGCGCTTAACTATAGATTTTAAATCAGACAGTTCAAATGGGAAAGCTCAATGGGACTATAGAGCCTTTGAAAGTATTACATTTGGAAGTTGGGTTGTAATTCAAAATAAGGGCATAGCCTCAGTGCCGATAGACCAGACCTTCCATACTTTGCTAAAAAAGTAAGTTACATCTTCAGTATTATAACCATATTTTACAAAATCCAAGCTGTGGCCTTGGGGTGCTTCTCAATGAAATATTGACTTTAAAGAAGTATAAGTTTGCCTCTTTGGTAAATACATGCTATATAAGTCTTGAGGTTCATTTCCTTTATATTGCTGTTTATTTTTATATTTTGCAAACGTCCCCTACAATTCTTTTAATATCTTCTGTGTTTGTGGTTATTTCCCCATTTCTAATTCTCATTTCATGTATTAGTGTTTTTCCCCTTGCTTCTCTATGAAATTGGCTAATCATTTGATTATTTTGTTTCTATTTTATTTTATAATACCTTAATTGAAGTTTTCATTTTTACTAATTCATTTCTTCTGCTTGAGTTTATTTTGTTCTTTTGCTAACTTCCTGAGTTGGATGCTCAATTCACTTATTTCATTCTGCCTGTTTAGTATTAGAAAATAGAAGGCTAGGGGTTTGTCTTTTTCTTATGAATCTCATAGATTCTGATATGCAGTATTTTCACAATCATTCCTTTCTAAATATTCTGTAATTTTGGTGTAGATTTTTCTTTTACCCAAGAGTTGGTTCAGATAGAGGTGTTTATTTATAAAATTTTCCAATGGTGGGCTCTTTTGCTTTCTAGTTTGTAATTAATTTGTGGCTTATTGAAATTTGATCAAAGAATTTTTTCATTGTTTGGATTTTATTGTGAATCATTTGTCACCTACTATATAATCAGTTTTGTGAATGTTCACTGCTCTTTAAAAGTAGATTTATTATCTACTAGCAGGGTATAGAACTCAAACAATACCCCATGTATCTACTTATGAATTATGTCATTTAGGTATTCTATATATCATTTAAAAATTTTGATTTATTGTGGGATGACAGATGTTTCTAGTTTTTTTTTCTTTCTACATAGTGTGAATGTTGATTCTATGTTATTTGGTTCTTGGATATTCATAACTATTAGATTGTCATAATTTATTGTACCTTTATCATTATAAAGCCTGCTTCTTTGCCTCATCTAATGCTTTTACCTAGAATTCAAATTTGACTCATTTTAAGGATATGAGCCTTGTCTTTGCACAGGTTTTTACCTTTAGCCTTTCAGAGATACTTTTGTTTGGGTGTGCCTTTTAAACACTGTATATAATTGAGGTTTTTTATGAGGCCGTCTAAGATTCTTTTCTCTTATTATTTGAAATCAGCTATTTTGTATCTATTGAAATGATAGGAATATTTGATCTTAGGTACCACCATATTTTATATTATGCTTTCTCTTTTTACAGCTTCTTCATAAATAGTTCATTATAGTGACTGTGCCATCTGCTTTGTTCTATATTTATTTCTTCTGATGACTTGGAAGTTTTATATTATGTTTTTAGTTCTTCCAGGGGCTAACTTGATAATAAAAATTTTACATCCTCTATTTATTTAGATAGTATCTATTGCCTCCTTGTTATAAAAAGTAGTAAACTTCTACTTCCTCTTCCCCAGCACTTGATTTTAGTAGGTTTTATTAACTTGTTTAATTCTTGTAGTCTGTTCTTTATTATTTAAATATAGCTCTATTTTTAATGTATCAGGTTTAAATGATATATTCTTATCTCCAACAGGTAAGAAAGCCGGCGTTTATTTATTACTTCCCAATACCATTCTTATTTTCCTTTCCATAACATAACTAACTCCTTGTTACTATTTGTTGGCTATATTACTTCTAAGTTGTCCTGATTTTTTAAATGAGCCTTCTATGCTTCTATGCTGCTTACAAAAGATACACCCTAAACAATGTGACTCAGAAAGGTAGAAAACCGGCAAGAGCATAATTTTCTAGTTGTTCTTGTCTTGATTCTGCTCAGTGGTGGTACTTTGGCCCTGGTTGATCGCCATTGGTTGGCCAACGTTGTTCCTCAGGTGGTTTCTTCTAGAAGAGCTAATGAAACCACATTTTTGTGTACTTGCCCATATTTCTACTGCTGTTATACTTGGGCCATAGTTTGCTTGGGTAAGACATTTTTTTGATCAAACTTTTTCTCCCTGAGGCCTTTTTTATATTTCACTCAAATGTCTTCTACCTGTGAATATTGCTATGGAGAGGTTGGAGGCCCTGCTGTAATTATTTTCATGTCTAGGTGATATATCTTTATGCTTATGTGCCCTAAAGGATTATTTCTTTATCTTTGAAGCCCACTAACATTACTAGGGTATATTTCAATAATGACTCTTCTTTAATAGCTTTCCTTGGGAACTGGCTTGTTCTTTTCTTCTATAGATTCAAGTTACCTTGACTGCATCTTTGAATGCTTTCCTTTTCCATTTGTTAAGTTCTCTTCTTTAGGGAAAACAGTTATTCATACGTTGACTCTCTTTTGTTTCTCTTCCATGTCTACATTTTTCCTTTAAGTCTTCATTAACTCTTTGATCAGTGGTCTTTGTTTGGCCTGCTTTTTACATTCCTGACCTCCATGCCCCTTAATGTGTTTTCATCAAGAACAACTCTTGTTTGTGCTGCTTCCGGTGCAGTCTTCATTTATGCAATCATTCTGTTTTTCTCTTCCATATCTTTCCTGAGCTCTGATAGCTCCTATTTCCCTGAGCCCTTTTCTTGATAATTTCAGGAATTTCTTTCTGTTCATGACAATATGTTTGGTCATCACTTGGTGGCACTGTTTTTTCTGGTGTTTCCTGTTTTTTTGTTTGTTTCTTCCTTTATTCCTTTTTTTCCTTTTTCATTTGATACATGTTTTCACAGGGTTTTTTTGTTGGTAGTGATGGTAGTGCTGCTTCTTCTTCCTCCTCCTCATCCTTCTCCTTTTTCTCCTCCTCCTTCTTCATTTTATTATTACTATTATTTACTATTGTTGAATGAAATGCTTTTTAAACTATTTGCAGGATGTATGTGCCAAGGAGAAACCAGAACAGCAATATTCTAAACTAGCCGAGATTCTTCATGGTTTGTTATGAGGCTTCTATGACGTGGGGTGTGTGTGTGTGTGTGTGTGTGTGTGTGTGTGTGTGTGTTAACCTTTATTTCTTCCCAGACAGCAGTGGGCAGCAGTTGTAGGGCTGCTCACAATTCAGACTCTGCCATCCATCATCCTCTTGCCATGCCTATGTGTTTCCTCATTCAACTTCTCCTTTTCTACTATTCCTAGGGACTAAATAGGGCCCAGGGTAGCTCCTCACACCAGAGAGAACCAGGAGAACTATGCTCTTCAAGTTTTATCTGAGATCTGGAGCCATAGGCCTCTTCTCTGGGGCTCTTACCTCACCCCTCTCTGATATTCACAACATTTGGCAGCCATTCCTCATCTAGTTTGATTTGAGATTACAGATTTTTCCTAGCATTTGTGTTTCTGTTTCTTGCTCTCCTGTTTTGAGAGGATAATTTCTGAGAAGACACAGATGTCTTCACTATATTATCTTAAATCCAAAATCACAATAATTTTCTTATACTTCCTATTTGTAACTTTTTCCCCTGGGAAAGAAGAGTGTACATTGCTGTGATTTTTTTTTTTTTTTTTTTTTTGCATGATGCTTTGGTTACCCTCTCCAATCAAATACTTTTTCTTCACTCTACCTGAGAAGACTCACTTGAGATGTCACCTGCCCTGTGACCTTACAATATGGAAATAATCTTTGTTTTTCTTGATTGGCTTGTTGCTTACATATAGCTTCTATAACAAACCCCAAAATGAATAATGACACACATAAAATGGAAGTTTATTACCCACTCATGTAAAGCACAGGACAAGTGTTTATTGATTGGCAGATAGTTTACAATCAGCAGTGATTTTAGACCTAGACTCTGCATGGCTTCCATGTTGCTTGTCTACATCAAGCCAGCAAAAAAGGGAAGAACGTGGAGAAGTAGGCATAGGAGATTTTATATGCCAGAAGTGTGGTGGAGATACATCCCCTCTCCTCTTGTTTTATTATCTAGCACTAACTGACAGATATCCTGGGAAATGTAGTGTAGCTGTGTGGACAGGAAATAGAGAAGGAAAAGGAGGGAGGCTTTATGAACAGCTAATGCCTAATTGCTCCCCCAGCTTGCCTGTCATAAATGTCCACGTAACCAAAGAACTTGAGTGTTTCTAATCAAATTCATCTCTTCATTCATTCAACAAAATGCATTGTGCTCCTTTTGCAGATTGACTACATGACTTTATTAGTCTTAACCCCTATGGCAGGAATAATAGTTATTTATTTTTCTTCATTGTCCTGGAAAAAAAAATGAGTTAGTTAAAAAAAATCTGTTGTGCTGAGACTTTTGCCCCTTTTTAAAAATATTGACATCTTCAGTAAAAGGAAAGGGTATGAATAATTCCACACAGGCCAGTAGTTATAGAGTCATATAATATTGTTTCAGTCAAGTTGAATTCACCTGTAGAATTACATCCTTCCATTTTACCTTCTGCACATTTTTTTCCAATTCATAAATGTATCCGTCCTCCAAAGGAAATTCAATGACAACTATTTTGAAATAGGCATTTAATAGTTGAGTCTACTCAGCTCAATTAAATCCAAAAGATATAAGTGATGTGTAGATGTGGAATGGACAAGTCCATGGGATAAGAAGTTATTTAATAGCTTATATGTTTTTAGTAATACAATCCAAATTAATGCTTATGCCTTAATAGTCAAGTGGTTAGTGTTCACCACCTCTTCTTCTAGACCACCCCATTAAAATGTACCAAAAAACCAACTTTTATCCCTGCTTCATAGGGAGTAAGAGTGGGTTTTATTTGCTTTAGCTGAGCTATCTTGCTAAACCATCGACAAAACAACAGTTTATGTTATAAGTACTCTTCCTTCTCTTCATCCTGCCCAGGTAGAAATAGCTCAGGAATAAATTATTTTTATCATGCCACTTGAGAGAGAGTGCAGCACGCAGCAAGGCATACTCAGCAATGGAGGGGCTGTTGTGTCCCATGGGAACAGGAAAGTGTGCAGAAGGAACTGAGCCACTTCAGGACTGTTCCTGAGACCCTTGGATGTCCCCAGCACCTATTGTGACCCCATCATTCAGCTTCCTCAGACGCCCATGCCTTTTCCTTCCTTTCAGTAGATGTTCTGTGTGTGTGTGTGTGTGTGTGTGAGAGAGAGAGAGAGAGAGAGAGAGTGAGAGCCAGCATCTTTTCTCTTTGGTAACATGCCTTAGAAAGAAAAAGCATTTAGTTTTTGAACCCGGTCTAGTTTTTGAATGTTGTTATTACTTTTTATGTACTATTGATTTATTTATAGTATTTATTGTCATCAGAGTGTATTTGGTATAACAAATTCACTAAACATTTCTCAAATCTTGACTTAAATATTAGAGATACCTAAGATACCCAATATTAGAGAAACAATTAAATAGTTCTTTTATTTATTTACATATGTTTCCACTTAATCCTCATCATAACCTGATACGATAGGGGTTATTATTCCATACTTTATAGAACATAACACTGAAATGTAGAGAGGGAAAATAAACTTCCTGTGATCACACAGCTAGAGGGAGAAAGGCCAGATTCAAGCCGAGGTCAGTAGCCATTAACCTGAGCAGATTCTATCCTTTGTAAAATGAATTAGCACAACTTTACTACTGTGAGAAGGGTGCCATATTCTCCCTTTCCTCTAGGTGTGTGACTGAAGTATTGAGCTTTTGGTCCAGGTTTTCAACCCTCATTATTTAGACTCTCCATCGTACTTACTTGTTATAGTGATGCTTTTTGGTGAGATTGAGAATATATTGACCAGAGAATTATTATTGTCTAACTTGAGAAACACAAGCAGTTATTTACTCTGTTTCTTTTTTGGTCCACTTTCCATTATGGACTGAACCCTGTGCTTAAGACCCTGGAAGCACTTACCCCAGTTGTGTGTAGCGTTAGGTAGCAGCACTGGGAGAATAAATCCAAATCAGTCCAGTTTGAATTTATGTTTTGGACACTGCCCACAACTGGGGTGGGGGGGCTTCACTGGCTCAAGAAAGGCCATAGATCGACTCGACAACTCGAGAACACACAGGAATTCTGACTGCAGTGTTGGCTCTAGGCCACAAGACACAATGGCTTTTCTTATTTTCCTCGGGGGACCTATTGCTGCCTAATGAGGCTTTCTATACAACAGCATGTGCCTTTGCAGTTGGATGGAATGATTGGACCCCAGAGGGCTTCAGCTTCTTGGTGTCTTTTATGCAGAGGAGCAGGCCCCAAAAGGACTTCTTACATAATGTAATTGTAATAATTATAATAAAGACCAGTGGCCTTTGTGGCAATTGAAGTTGCTAAATAAAATCTGGGCAACTTTGCCTACTGATCTTAATTTACTGTGACTTCCTGTTTTCCTAGGGTGACAGAGAAGCAGAGCTGGGGCTGCCTTTTTCTCCTCTGTGTGATCGAAAGTCAACGATGGTTGCTCAGTCGCAAGTGGGTATGTGTTGACAGCCCTTTGGATGGAAAGAAAAAACAGAGAGGGGTGCCTAGAAGTAAGCTCACATGCTCCCAGTGATTCTTTTGGCTGGGAACATGGCTCCATTCTGCTGTGCTGTGCTCATGGCTTTGGCTGGTTGGGTTGGAGCTGCTCTCCCCATCCTGCTCCCTGAAATGTGGCTGGTTTGTGGGAAGATTAGACAGTGATGCTCTGCTGTCGCTATCATTCCCCACTAAGAGCAAAAGGGGCCTCAACTTTCCAGTGCAATAACAAGAATCAGTGGCAAGAAGCCCATTCTATTTCAGCCTCTCCATTCTGCATGCAATCCTGGAAGTCTCTCTGGCATCATTTCTCTGGCCCTGTTTCCAGGACAGTCCCATTTCCTGGATGACCCTACTTCTAGGAATGGCTCATTTTAAATGTTTCCTTCTTTTTAGAAAGCTTTTAGCACCTTTTTTTTTTTTGGAAAAGATAATTTTGTACTCTAATAACCATAATATATGTGCATTACAAAAATCCTCAGATATGAGAGAGGGTACCAGTATCACACATAAATTAAATATCAGCAGTGCTCTTCGCTTGGAAGAGTCTGAAATCATTCAAAAAATAAATTCAACAAGGATTTACTGAGTTTTTTTTCCACTTGTATTTTGAGTACTCATTCCTTTTTTTCGTAATAGTATATTGAGTTTCTGTTAGGTGCAAGGCACTGCTAGGCACTAAAATAGATGTTATAAAAAAACGAATACAGATTATATATGGCATCTGCTCCCAAAGACACTGAACCAGGATTGGGCAGTAGACAACATGTTAGGAAAACAAAATCTATTTGAGTGTTACAGTGCTAAGGTAGAGTTTTGTATGTGGCACAGTTGGGTATAGAATAGAGTGTGTGGACCATTAGACTCAGAAAGACTTGTTGAAGGGTAATATTTGAGTTGGGGCTTAAGAAATAAGTAGGTAATATCTAGGCAAACGGTGTTGTTGGTTAGAGGTGTGTAATGGGTGGGTGGAAGGGCATTCCAGGTAAGGGATTAGCATATACTGAGCAGGGAAATTTAAAACAGCCTAGTATGGTCAGGGCATTACAAACAGCTCCATATGGCTGGAGTAGTGGGCAGAGAGTAGGATGAAGTAAGTGACATGTCTAAGGAGGAAATCAGGGCATATCTAAAGAATTTTAAGTAAGATTTAAAAATATAAATTGATGCTTTAGAATAAGAGTCAGCAAACTATAGCCTATGGGCTAAATCTGGCGTACTTGTCCTATAAGTGGTTTTATTATAACACAGCTAAGCTCATTCCTTTGCATATTGTCTATGGCTACTTTTACACTACAGTGACAGAGTTAAGGAGTTGTCATAGATTTGGCCCACAGAACCTAAAATATTCACTATCTGGCCCTTTACAGAAAAAGTTTGTCAACCACTGTTTTAGAAAGATTTCTCTTATCGGTAGCTGGGAGGGTTTTGAGTAAGACTAGAGGCAAGGAAATCAGCTGGGTGCCCACCTCAGTCATGAAAACCATAAAAGCATTTGCACCAAACACCATATTTCCTTTGATTAGGGTTTCATTTCCTTCCAACTTTCACGTGGCTGTGTAATAAACTACCACCAGTAGTTCCAGATCATATATTTTCTACTAATGTGTCGCAGAACACCTGGGTATCTTTGGGCCATTGAGACAGTGACTATGTTAGATGTTAGAGCCTAACATCAACTATCTCCCCAACATGGTGATATCTCAAAGTTCCAGTTCCAGATCTGACCCCTCTCCCAGGTTCCAACCCTGTTTCTTCCAGTTCTGCTCACCCTTTCCCATCTAGATGTATCCCTGGCACCTCAGAGTCAGCAGATCTAAGACTGAGCCCATCGTCCTTTTCCCCAGCCACAGCTCCCCTATCATCCCTGGGTTCTCTGCTTTGCTGGGGGAGGTCTCTAACAATTCCCACTCAGAGGCAGCACCCCCCCCCCGAGCTGCTTGCACCCGTGCCTCCATGACACCCCCACCTTACGCTGGCACTGGATCCCACCTCCTTACCTCTCCTTTGAGCTGTCACAACAGCTTCTCAAATGATTTTCCCAGACTCAGCCCCTCCTGCTCTCTCCCTTCATGCCCATCTTGCCAGATTAACTTTCCCAAAGAACATTGAAAAAATCTAACTGTGATGCTCCCCAAACATCTCAAGGGGCTTCTAGTACCCATCTAGGTCCCACCCAACTCCTTAGCCAGACCCTTAGGAGCCTCCCTTCCTGAGCTGATGATTACCTGCCTTCCCAAGCTTTCCCACTCCAACTCTGAAAAAATCCTTAAGCCCCAGTCAATCCTCAGACACATCCTGCATTTTTTCCCATCCTCGACACTTTGCTTATTCCACCCCTTCCACCTGGAGTGAAGAGACTTAGGGCTCAGCTCAAACATCACAACCTCCATAAAGCTGTTCACAGGCCTCTCAGGGTGAGGGAAAATATCCTCCCTCCCTCACCTTCCCAGGGGCCTTCTTTGGGCTTCTCCTTTGGCCCTTTCCATATACTCTAGGGGTCATTTCTATGCTCAGTTAATCTCTCTTATAAATGCCTTGAGGGTAGGCAGGTTGTGTTTTATGTCTTTGTCTCTTGTGCAGCACGAACCACAGCACTGGTTACCTAGTGGGGGTTGAATCTGTGTTTCTTCATCACTTGATTGAGCTGGATACTAGAAAGTCATAGGAAAGTTATTTGGAGAGATGGAACTGACTCATGATATTCAACTCAAGGAATATGTTAAATGAATAAAGACCAACCTCCTCTCTCCTTATCTGATCTGGAGCTCCTCTGTGGATAAATTTTAAAAGAAAGATAAGACTCATCAGTTTCCATAGGAAAATATGGAAAGGCCCAGTTAACATGTAGTTCCTCTGAGGTGTTGCTGTCTCTTTTCAGGTTTTATTGATTTCATTGTGGAGCCCACCTTCACTGTGCTCACGGACATGACTGAGAAGATTGTGAGCCCGTTAATTGATGAAACCTCCCAAAGTGGCGGGACAGGACAGAGGCATTCAAGGTCAGTGGAGAAACTTGAAGGATGGGGGTCAGGTGAGGACAGAGCTATTCCTTTGGGAGAGACGGGGTATTTCATAATGCTGTTTGCCCTCCCTCTCTTGTAAGGGTGTGTCTGCCTCTTTCTTTTTCTCAGAGGAGTGGAGGCTGGACTATCTGTGCTCTCCAGGCTGGCCTGGAAGGGAGTGACCAAGATCCACACCACGACTGGTGGGTTTCCAGGGCTGGTCCTCCACCCCGTTCTCTCTTTTGGTGCTTTTGCTCATGGCAGCACCCATCACAGCACTTTGACCTCCTGGCCCCAGGCAGTCATTGCTCCCCAGTGCAAAAAGAAAGTACCCCTGATCAGAATTCTCACAAGAAATGAAACTGAGTTTCATTTCTAGGTTTAGGAAGAGAATGAAGTGGAGGAAAGAAAAAGAACCTGAAAGCTTTAAATCACCTCTGACATAACTTCATTATATTGAGCATAGATAAGTAGCAGGCTCCGGAGTCAGATTCCAGGTTAAACATCCCAGTCCCATTACTTGGTAGCCATGCCATCTCAGGTGAGTGGCCTCAGTTTCCCCATGTGGGTTGTAATACTCCTAGGTTGGAGGGAAGATTAAAGAAGTTATTTAGTCTACATTAAGCCCTTATAACAGGGTCGAGCACGGAGGAAGTACTAACACTTAGTCTTTATTAGTGGTGCCACTGCTAGTCCCGCTGCCCCTTTCCCGCTTGTCCATGTAGAACCTGGGGCTTTGTTATACAGGAGAAAGGAGAGAAATGGAATTTAATGGGAAAAATAAGCAAAGAGCAAAAGAAGGAGTAAATAGAAGGGAAGATAGGAAAAATATTAGGACAGTGGGGTCCTGGGGATGGTCAAGGTGAATGGACCCAGTGAGGGCTGCTGACATGGCAGACAGAAGCCTTCTGCCTGAGTCCCCTACCCCATAGCTCTGCAAGCACTCGGCTGAAACGTATCCTGCTTATCTATTCAGCCTCAGTTGTGGTTGTCAGTGGGTTTGCATTCATGTTGGTCACAGCGCTAGCCACCTGGAAGTGTGTGATACGTTCAAGTTTCCCAGAAGGTGACCTCCCTATATATGCAAAATTGCCCATGTTTAAAACATGAAGTAATATTCATTTTTTTAAAAAAAGATTTTATTTATTTGACAGAGAGAGAGATAGCGAGAGCAGGAGCACAAGCCGGGGAGTGGGAGAGGGAGAAGCAGGCTTCCCGCTGAGCAGGGAGCCCGATGTGGGGCTCGATCCCAGGACCCTGGGACCATGACCTGAGCCGAAGGCAGACACTTAACAGCAGAGCCACCCAGGTGCCCGAAGTAATATTCATTTAAAAAATGCTTTTTATATGACTGTTTCCCACAGTCTCTAGGGTGTCTGTGCCTTTTCAGCTTCCCCTGGGAACATAAGGAAAACTTCTTACTTTGGCCTTGGGGATCCTGGGGTCAGAGGCACTCCAGTACGGGGGGTGGGGGGTTTGGAGCTGGAGAGAAAGAGGTACAAGTGGCTGGGTAACTTGGAAAGTGGTCAGTGTGGAAGCAGGTGGCTGCACTGGGAAACCAAGTAGAAGCCCAGTTTCAAATTAGTTAATTTCGGAGAGTTGAAGACAGAGAATTCATGTGAGGGAATTCTAATCATATTGAGTAAGAGGATACCAATCAGCAGAGAAGAAATATGGGGAATAGTGATACTCATGAGGCTGAAACCTTGATGGTTTTTTTTCCTGCTGAAAACAGAATTTCCCGTTTGTCACATATGGAAAATAGGAATTGCAAACTTCAGGACCCAGGAATTTCGCAACACAACTTGAGGAGTGTTAACCACTCCTTTCTTGGGCTTGCTCATTGGCATACATTATTAAAACACTACCCTTCCTCTTTGGTGTGACTTTTTGTCCTCCAGTTTGAACAGCATCAGTTCAGCGGATGCAAAGCGATCGGGCGTGAAGAGCACTAGCTCAGAAGGAAGCGCCCCCATCAACAGTTCTGTCATCCCCGTTGACTACAAGAGTTTCAAAGCCACTTGGACTGAGGTGGTGCACATCAACCGGGAGAGATGGAGGGCCAAGGTGCCTAAAGGTAACATGCTACTGGGGAATCTTCCAGGAGATCCGTCCAAATCCACTTAGAAAACAAGGCATTGCTGATTTATGGGTATTGCAAATGAAGCACTATCTCAGGATCTGGATTCAAATGGCCAACTGGTAGGATCCACTCTCTTTGGCTCTTCATTGTATGTAGCACTCAGTGCATAATAGAATGAGGCAAGCCCCCACTTCAGCATGACATTTGTGCTGTCTGACTAAATTCCCCTTGTTGGTATAAAGATCTTGCAGTGGATGGGTGTTGTTCTTGGTTTCTGCGAGACCACCTGGTCATTCTCATTTCTTATCATGTGACACAATGATGAGGCCTTAATTTCTTCCTTTATCTAAAGTAAAGCCTGACTGATAGGGCGCCTGGGTGGCTCAGTTGGTTAAGCAACTGCCTTCAGCTCAGGGCATGATCCTGGAGTCCCAGGATCGAGTCCCACATCGGGCTCCCTGCTTGGCGGGGAGTCTGCTTCTCCCTCTGACCCTCCCCCCTCTCATGCTCTATCTCATTCTCTCTCTCAAATAAATAAATAAAATCTTTAAAAAAAAATTAATAAAGTAAAGCCTGACCAATAGCCACCTCTGCCATTACATTGGGATAGAAGGAGCTTTAATATCCTTGCATGCATTTTTAGCCCCCTTTCATGTTCTCAACTTCTCTTCACTCATGACTCAGGCTGATCTTCTGAGATGAATGTAACTTGCAGGCAAAATTCACTGAGGCCAATATCAAAATTCAGATGAGAAAATTCATGACTCTTGGTACTATAAATAAAAAGGACTGAAATCCGTGTGCTTCTTGAAAGCTGAAATCCATTTGCTCATACGCATATTCGTGTTTCTCAAATGGGTACTACATGCTCAGCCTGTAGCCTAGGGAGGAACGCGTACCTGAGATAAGGGTAAGATACCTGAGATAAGGGTACGATGCCGTGGCGCTGGATTCCAGGGAGAGACGCAAACATAGATGGCTCTTGGAGCTCAGCGAGGGGGCTGACCCCAGTGGGGTTTGTGCAGGTGAACCTTCAACAATAGTCAGTGTTTGTTAACATCTACCCAATGCCTCCTATGTGCCGAGAGTACAGAGATGAATCACAGACATCTGGTCCTCAGAGCTCACTGTCTCCTGAGGGCAGGGGGCATTTGCATGAGTTTCCTTCAAGGAAAGAAGGAAGTTCAGTCAAGGATTTGAGCTTGTCGCCATCACCCACTGGCCCTGGGCCCCAGGCCCTCATTACAAGAAAGGAGAGTTTTAACCTCAAACACAACCCCGACACTTTCATCCACCAGTGCCCGCACAGCAAGGTGAAAGAAGCGTGGGAGTGGCTGGGCAGGACATGTTCTGGCTCTGTTGGCCCCTCATACATCAGGGGCTGTTTCTTGTGTGGTAGAGAAGAGACCTACCTCACTGTTGCAGTTTTTCAAACGCCAGCCACTGTGGCTTGTCCACAAAATCCAGTCCAAGTGGCTGCTCATTTCAGGTGGGGCCAAGGGTTTATATTTATGGCGCTTTTAAGGCACAATTGGGCCCTTATCATTTTGGGACAGACCTTGGACCCTGAGCTACGGAGCCAATACCTCTTCTATATTTTAAATGTAGCCTCCCCTAGTCTATTCAGATGCCTTAAACATTTAAATTCTCCCTGTTGGCAGACGTTGCAAGTGGCAATAGCAGCTACTACATCATCTCAAAAGAAGCACTCTCTTATAATCAATGACACTCATTACATATGAAAATCCAATTCCCGACAACACACAGTCTAAAGAGGTACTTCAAAATAATTCGTTCGCAGTTATCTGGCTTACTTAAGTTACCTTCCGAAACTAGTCACTGAGGGGAGCATTAGATGGCTTCTCTTCCAGGAGAAAACTGGCCTTTTGAAAATGACATAAATAAACGCTAATAATTACCAAATGTTAGGTATGCTGGTTGAGATACGGTCAAGCTATTTTGGAAGCATAAAGGGACTTGTCCCTTAATCTGCTTAGGGCTTTTGGGAAGGCATCTTGTAGCCAGGATTTCAAGGTTGCCTGAGGTTGATCCTGCAGGAGGTGTTAGATTTTAAAATGGGGAACAAGGAGAAAGGGGATGGACAGAGGCGCAAAGCCTGGGTTATGTATGTTTTGTGGGAGGATAGTTTGAATATCAAAGCAAATTTCAGTTAGTGGGGAAATGGAGAATTGAATCCCTACTTGCACTAGACTCTTTGGCAGATTCATGTAGATTCTTTGGGAAAATTACCTTCTGAGGATGATAATACATATCACAGAGTTGATGCAAAGAACAGAAATAAATATGTAAAGCACTGAGAACAGAACCTGTATGTGGTTAGTGCCTGATAACTCATAGCTGTTATTTTTTAAAAAATTGGAAAAGAAAGTTAGAGGTTTGAATGCAGAGTTAAGAAGATGGTGGTAAAAGTAACAACCTATATCTAATACTCTTACCTAATATTTTCAGCCTCCCAGTAATGCTGTTGACTAGTTCACTGGTGTTAAGAGATTCATTTATATCTTTTTTTCCATTGGTGATCAGTTTGTACTAGATTATCCCAGTCTGTTTTGCTCATTGTTCTTTTCTACCAGAAAACCGTGATTTCAAGAAAGCCTGACCTGCATGGGGCACTTGAACATATGTTGTTATTAAATTGATTAGAATGGGATCTAAACTCTTAGTTTTATTAACCAACCTGATATACAAAGCTAGCTAGACCAGAACCCATAGTTGTTAGAAAAGAGTAAATAATTATTTCTTAACAGCTCACAGGGCTGAAAATTATTATTCCCAAAGATATGTAGGTATAATAATTTCTAAGTCTGATCAATATTAATTTTTGTTCATTATTTAATACTTTATAAACATTTTTTCTGGTGTAAAAATATGTGTTTAGGGGTGCCTGGGTGGCTCAGTCGTTAAGCGTCTGCCTTCAGCTCAGGTCATGATCCCAGAGTTCTGGGATCGAGCCCCGCATCGGGCTCTGTTCAGCAGGAGGCCTGCTTCTCCCTCTCCCACTCCCCTGCGTGTGTTCCCTCTCGCTGTGTCTCTCTCTGTCAAATAAATAAATAAATCTTTTAAAAAAAATACATGTTTAGGTAATAATGCTGAAATATAAATATATCTATAAAGAAGGAAATAAAAATCACTCCTAACCTCTTCAGCCAGAAATTGGTGAAATTCTGATATAATTCTTTTTAATTTTATTTATCATGCATATATATTTATATGAGTAAAAATTTTCCCCATACATTGGAATCATAGCAAAATATTGCCCTATATTTTATTTTACTATTTCTATTTTAAGAATTTTATCTTGATACTGAATATTCTTAGAAAGTATGATTTAAATGGCTGCATTTTATGTAATATTCCTCTTTTTCTGCACATTTTGGTTTTTCAGTTCTTCATTACTGTATATAATAACACTGTTATAAACATACAAGTTAAAAAGTCTTTGAGCCTACCTCTGATTATTTATCTAGGATAAATTTCTATATGTGGAATTCCTCTGTCAGAGTAGATGAAAAACTATAAGCTCTTGATACATATTATCAAATTTCTCTCTGGAGAGTTTTTTTTTTTTTTTTTTTTTTTTTTTAGCTAATGTCTTCCAATAGAAGTGGGAGGTATTTCCCTGTATTTCTCCCCTTCATTTTTCCCATTAGAATGTTTATATTTTTATTATTGATTCATAATAACTCTTTATATATAAAGGATGGCAATTCTTCAATTGACAAAATATCTTGGCAATTTCTGCCCTACCTAGTTTGTCATATGCCTTTTAATTTTTTGTCACGTGCCTTTTAATTATGTTCTTTTTTTTGATAAGTATAGTCATCATCTGTCAACATACAACATTATTACAGTATTATTGAGTATATTTCCTATGCTGTAGTTTTTATCTCCATGATTTATTTTGTAACTGGAAGTTTGTACCTTTTAATCCCCTTTATCTATTTTGCCCATCCCCTTACCCACTAGCTAGCTTTGTAAATGGTCTTTTAAAATATATTCTGTTTTTGGGGTGCCTCGGTTGCTCAGATAGTTAAATGTCTGCCTTGGGCTCGGGTCATGGTCTCCAGGTCCTGGGATTAGCCCCATGTCGGGCTCCCAGCGCAGCGGAGAGTCTGCTTCTCCCTCTCCTTCTTCCTCTTCCCCTGCTTGTGCTCTCTCTCTGTCAAATGAATAAATACAAAATCTTAAAAATAAATAAATAAATGCATCCTATTTTTATTTTACCAGAGATTACCTTTACATTTTTGTGCCTATCAATGTAAATATGAAATGGTATATAATGACACTCCTTGCAAATGCTGAGGTATTGCAAGTGGCAATAGCACTTGCAATAGCACAATGAGGTATTTATTGAATTTTTATTTATTTCCTCCATAATCGCTCAGTTTTTGTTGAAATACCATGAGATTTGTAATCTAAGTGATTATAAGTAAATTGTTATTTTATAATTAACTTAACCTTCATATTACTTTTAATATTTGCTTCAAGTTTTATATCTTGCTTAACAACAATTATTTTTATTTAATACTAAGATTTACTAGTTTTATTGAACATCATTTATATATTTTCCTTATTCTTGAGGTTCTAATACTGGTTGAATTTTTCTCCCAGCTGGAGCACTTCTTGGCTTCCATTTTAGAAAGAACCTGTGTGAACACCTTCTGAATCCTTAGATATATAGAAGTATTTTTTTGTTGCTTTTGTATATAACTAAGAGTTAACTATTCAAAATTCATATAGTATTTTGGTTGGTTTTCTGTTAGTCAGTTTCTCTCCTTTTCTTTCTCTCTCTCTGTAGGTAGTTTAAGTAGGCAATTCAGAAAATGATATCATGGGATAACTGGTTCAATGACATTTTTAACCAAGAGACTATAAACCATTATTCAGAAGGGGAAATTGAATGAAGAAATCAATGTACTTCTCCCAGAATGTATAGGCATTCAGTGTGGGATAGAGCCAGCTCTCAAGAGGAATGAGAATTATGGATCATGAGGGCTCTGTTCTGCCTTGCTCTCCTTTAACTCATTAGTTGCTTGTTTGGGTCATGTTCATTGTAAGTTAAATCACCACAGATAGTCTGAAATGGGAAGTAAAAGGAAATGGAATTGAACTATGACATTTGCTTTCTACTAGTCTGGAAGCCTACGAGTACCAGGGATGCTAAAACTAAGAGCTGAAAAGTTAATTCTATATGTATTATCCTCAGAACCTTGTAGCACATACAAGTTAATCGTGCACTTGCTTACTTTTTCTCTTTGTAAGAAAGGTTTATGTATGTTAATAATTTCACCCTGAAAATATGTGGCACAAACATACCTCCTGTCAATTTTTTTTTCTTATTTGCATGTCTGCTTGTTTTTATCTATTTATTTTGAGTAGTATCATTGGGTGCTGGTGGCTGGTCACCCTAATATCAGATATTTCAAAGAATCAAGGAGAGATGCAAGTAGAGAAGTTGAACATTGCAGAGCCACCTGCTGGAACACAATTGCCGAAGGGAAAGGAGTCATATAGTGGAGCAGGCTCACCTAGGATCTGATTATGATGTCATAAGAGCTACCATTCATTAATTCAAACATTAATTGCCTGCTGTCAGCAGTATTTGAGCAAAAACAGATTTGTTTCTAAAATGTACCTTCTCCCAGTTTTTTTTTTTTTTGCTAGATTTTCCATAGAAAATTGTTCTGACTCAGTTGTCAAATGAATTTTTCTTGCTCAGATAATATTTTATGCTCTTCTGTAGCAAACCAGAATTTAACACCTTCAGTTTTTATCAGTTACTTTTAACTTGTGGATATTTTGAATGTTGAAAGTTTGCCACAGATACAATGGGGATTCTGTGAGGGGACCATGAATTATTTAACCTGGTACCTGAGTATGAATGAAAATTCTCTTCCCCCTCACTTTTCCTCTCTGTGGAGTGAGTACAGTCATCTTTTTACTCTCCTGTATTAGTGGTTAAGGAAACCAACATTTGTCAAATGGCTAACTCTTCCACAATAGGACTTTAGAGTTTATATACTTTCTGTATTTTACACAGGCCTGGATTACAGATGATGGAATATGTACAAGTCAGGTTCATTGGCAGATAGGGGGAATCATACCCATTATGCACAGTTTCATTTAGTTAACAGATACTCCATGCTTATCTGCTATGTGCCAGGTGCTGTACCAAGCACTGGAATTCAGTGATGGAGATGACATTTGACCTCTGTCCTCAGGGCACTATGGGAGGATGAGAGGAAGTCTGGGTGAACATTCCAGGGGGCCTTCTGTGACCCTGTAGTCTACTGAGAATGCCGTGTTGTGGCATTCTTTTTACTCTTTATTTGTACCTTTCTGTAGAAGTCAGAAGACAGAGTATACTCTATATGTGCATAATTAAGTTATTTTGCAAAGAAATCTTTCCTTACTTTTCACTGTAAAGTATAAATGCATCCTATTGGGAAGCAGAATGTCCAGAAATATAGAATGGCAAACATTTAAAATTTAAATCAGTCCTCGTCCATCCTGATTGCACGTTAGAATCAACTGGAGGGCATTTAAAATATCCTATCCTTGCCCCTCTCCCTCCAGAATATGATTTAATGTGTCCTGGGTGAGCAGGGCATTGAATTGGATGGGTTGGATGGATGAATCAATGAAAAGATTAATGAAAACTTCATAATATATTAGGGAGGACATTTGAGCCAGGCAAATGGAGGGGCAGGAAAAGCAAAATGAAGCCAGAGATCAAAGACATCCACAAAATAAAATGCTGGAAAGCCCCCACGAACATGTGAACTGGATCAGATTTGGGCTTTGTGCTCTTAAGCAGCTAAAACAAAGAGAAACATAACCACCCGGGTGCCCATTAGATTACAAACTTGTCTATGAAGGCTACCTTTTTCAGGAGCGAGACTAATCAAGGAAAATAAAGAGGACCCTTGATAGTGAGGTGTGGGATATTTTTAACACATCTAGAGAAAAAAAAATTCAGTAATGTTTTTTATAATGGATGGCACAATCTGGAAGGCCTTTTGAATCAGTTGGATGCTAAATGGGGTGAGTCTGTCCCGTGAGGGAGGATGGGTCTCAGGCGTGTGTTATTCCTACAACCCAGTGCCACTTTATTGCCTCCAGGGCCCTGCAAGATCTCAACTCTGCATGTCCTTGGTCGTTTGACCACATCATCTGTCACTAACCTCCTCTAAATCTGTGTTAGCCATATTGACTAACTCAGTATCCCAAGCTCATTCCTACCTCGTGGCCTTGACATTTTTTATTCCTCTGCCTGGAATGCTATTTTCCCTGATTATTTCATGGCCAACAATTCATCATTAAGAATTTGTCAGATAGTACTTTCTTTACCTCCTGATCTAATGCCACCTCCCTCCCTTATGCTGATCCTGTTCCATCATATTACTTTGCTTTACTTTTGCTTTACCTTTTTCACCACCTGAAATTATCTTTGTGACTTGTTTACTTAATCATGGTCTTTTCTGTTCCGTTAAGTCTTGCTTGCTGCTAGATTCCCAGCGCCTAAAATGGTACTTGATACTGTTGCTGCTCAATAAATATTAGTTGAATGAATGAACCAATCTTTTCACGAATACTCGACCATATGCAATTATGCTATGTTTTTGATGAAACACAGAGCCAGACCCTTTCACAGTAAACAGAATTGGAAATAAGGCTGACATCCTCTCATTAAAGGGGAAGATTCAGACCAGGATACCTGCCCAAACTAAAGGCTACCTCTAATCTTGTGGACAGTTTGAAGACCGGGCTTTTTGTAAGGACTAATTATCCTCTTCCTACTTTTACATTCACAAACAGTGGCCTGAAACTGTGGCGATTATTCTTCCTTTCTGTTTTGTAATCAGTTGTTCATGTTTAAACTCCAGAGCCTAAGCAAATCTCCATGAAACTCCAATTTTAACTGTGGCTGTGGGAGGGTTTTGTAATGTCCCCGAGCCTTGACTTCACACTTGTAAGATGGGGTTATAATAATAGTAGCTACCACCTAAGGCTGTGTTGAGAACGAAAGGAAGTAATCCTTGAAAAGCACTTAGCATAATACCTGGCATAGAGGACACACTCAAGAGAAGTTATTGATGATAGATATTGAAAATGACAATTGTTATATTGGTTTATTAGTTATTATTATCCTTATTACTATTATTATTACTTTCTCCCTGCCCCTTCTTCTCACCCACTATTTTCAGAAATGACATCACCATGAACCGATTTTATTGGTTTTCTGAATATACACACTAATCTGACTTGAATTAACCAAAAATAAACCCCAAGCACTCAGTGCAAATACTTGTTTTTGTTTAAAGAGGCAGTTCTCCTAATAGTGTAACCTCTTTTCATCTTTTCTGTGCCTTTCCTGACTTGCCATGGATACAGAGGAGAAGGCCAAGAAGGAAGCAGAGGAAAAAGCTCGCCTGGCTGCAGAGGAGAAGCAAAAGGAAATGGAAGCCAAAAGCCAGGCTGAAGAAGGCGCAGCTGGCAAAGCCGAGAAAAAGACATCTGGGGAAGCTAAGAATCAAGTCAATGGAACGTGTACAAACAAAAGTGACAACCCTTATGGGAAAAATTCCAAAGCTGAGAAGTCCTCAGGAGAAAAACAACAGAATGGTGAGTACAGTTTCACTGGTGAAAGGCTCTTTTCGGGGTGTTAATGACGTGATGAATGGAAACTGGCAAACAACCACACCTATGAGGATGGCTCTCAGAGCTGGCATCTCTGGTCTCCGCAGCTGCTGCTCATCACACCTCACTGGGCCATGGGTTCCATTAGGATCCCATCAAAAGAAACCAGAGGCTGGCTTGGGCCATTCTCTCTGGGGAGACTTATACTTTTCAGGCCTTTCCCAGCTGTTCTGGAGACTCTGGCCAGTGCCTGCCTGTCCACTGGGGGAATAACTGTGACCAATCTCAGCACATTCCTGAGTGTTTATTGCCCAGATGGGTGGATAGAAAGTGTCTTCCATACGCACTATCCCTCTAGCAGGCAGGGCTGGGGCTCAGGTCTGTATGTCTGTGGGTGAAAAAGTATATACATTAGGGTGACCACCTATCCCATTTGCCTGGGACTGAGGGGTTTCCTGGCATCTAGAGCTTTAGATTTTAAAACCAGAAAAGTACCAGGCAAACCCAGATGATCTGGTCACCACCTTAAATGCACTGTGCTTGGCACTGAGAATTTAGAAATGGAAAGGCCACAGGAAGTCCACAATCTCATAGAAACATGGGCATCCTTAGAAATAATTCTGAGCAAGTAACAGTCATGGCAAGGCAGCTAAATTTAGCTCAAGGATCATGTCAAAAAAGAAACATTAGCTTTGTTGCATCTGGGGCTCGTGGAATGGAGAAATGTCAAAGAAAGTGTCAGGAGGTGGTGGTGCCTGAGCTGTGTTTTCAATGTTGAACTTCACTGGTCAGATGGGAGATAGGGACTTCTTCACCAGAGGAACAAGATGAGCTGAGGCACAAGGGCATGGAATTGGTTACCTTGTTTAGGGAAGAGCAGGAAGTTCAGAGTCTCTAGAACTTCCAAGTTGTAGCAAGGTAGTTTTGCAGTCTGACAGACCTGGATTCAAGTCACAGCTGTGCCTCTCACTTCTTGGTGGCCTTGGCCAGGTTACTTAACCTTCTACTGGCTCTGTAAAGTGTGCATAACAATAATACCTGCTCACAGCAGGGCCACTTGTGAGCCTCCAATAATGAGAATGATAGCAAAACAATGATGACAATAGAGTAACTAGCATTTATTGACTATCCACCAGATGCTCTTTTAAGTCCTCTCTTTATGTGTTTATTCTCTTATCCGCCTGGTAGGCCATGCTGTAGCTATTATGTATGCTACATAGCCTGAGTAAATGAGGAATATGTAGAAGGTGCTTAGCACAATACTCTCCAATTATTTTTACAGTGAACATATACAACATGTAGAATCAGAAAACAATATTTTAATACATATGGTAATGTTAATAACTCATATCATGTTCCAAGAGCTTTGCATGAATTCCCTCAGGTAACCCCATGAGCACCCTAGGAGGTAGAAAAGGCCTTTGTCCACCTTGTCCAGCCCCTCAGCAGCCTGGTTCTGGAGACTGCTCCTAACTAGTTAGCTTTGTATTCAAGTGCATCATTGTCCGAAAATATGTTCAATTGTATAAGAATTTATGATGTACCTGTTGGAGTTTTTAGAGGGCAGTGGAAAAGACCTCCTCTCATCCCCTCCTGAGGTCAGAACCAACTAAGAGAGAGATACCAGAATCAGAAAGTCAATAGTCAAAATATGAGCTCTACTACAACTGGAGTTGAATTGGAAAATCTGACTTGGTCTGCTGAGCACGTGGTCTTCTTCACACATCTGCCTTGAAGTGAGCTTAGCCAACCAGATACTGGCAGAGCAGGCAGGCCTCGGACCTGCCACCTCATTTCCACCCCAGCACCCCAACACCCCAGCAGACTGCTTCTGGAGTGACACGAAAGGTGTGTGTTTTGTGGAAAACACATCTCAGAGGGGGTTGGGAACTAGAGAAATGGGTGGCTCAACCGAGCTTTGCATTCTCAAACTCCTAGATGAGTCTCTTCTTCTCAAAGGAGGAGTATGGAAGGGCTCCTGAGAGAGGCAAGATGTGTTTCTTCCCTGCTTTTTTCTTTTAGGAAGGTGGGTTAAAAATGGCTTTCCCTTAATAAAAGTAACATCAATAATATATATTGAATGCTTAATATATGCCAGACATTGTACATGAGATTTTACCTACATTAAATTATTTAAAAATGCCAACAATGCTGTGAGGTAGATATACTCATTCCCATTTTGCAGATGAGGAAACGGAGACTCAGAAAGGTTAAATCACTTGCTTAAGGTCAAGCAACCACGAAGTAGAGATTTCAAGTCAAATTCAGGTCTGAGTCCAAATTCTATGTTTCATAATCAGCATGTCCCTACTGTTTACAAGTTTTGGCACTATTGGGGAGAGTAGGAAATCAGAAGAATATTGAGGCTCAGCCGAGGTCCACAAGAACCTTATAATCTATTCCAGGGGTTGGCACACTTTTTCTGTAAAGGGCCAGATGGTAAATATTGTAGACTTTGGGAGCCATGCAGTCTCTATTGCAGCTGCTTTTAACACTCCTGTTTTAGTGCAAAAGCAGCCACAGGTAACATATAAATAAATGGGCATGGCTGAATTCCAATAAAACTTTATTTATAAAAATTCAAGTTTAAATTCTATATAATTTTCAAATGTCATTAAATATTCTTCTCTTTTTTCAACCATTTAATAATATAAAAACTATTCTTAGTTTGTGGGCCATATAAGACCAGGCACTGGGACCAAGTTTGGCTCATGGGCCATAGTTTGCCAACCCCTGGTCTGGTCAGGGAGAGAAACCAATGAACATAAACATGCTGGTCATAGAGAAGGTTATAAATTCTATGAGATGGGTATAAACAAATACCCAGAGAGGGCAGAGGTGGCAGGAATCAATTTTGGAGACCATTAGAGGGAGAGCCTGAAAGAAACAAACAGGAGCCCAAGTTTTCAACTAGGTTGTGTTTATTTCGCAAAGTAATCAACAGTCTACCATTTCCCTTAAAAACTAAGTATTAAATGAGAGATGGGAAAAGAAGTCATAAGCAATAATAAGAAAGGCTAATGGTGGTTCGGGACTGTGTTACAGTAGCCTAATTAAAATGATTTATAACTGTGCAGAAAGGCTCTTTTGTTTCCTCTGTTTATTGAATAACAGCTCACATCAGCTATTACTCCATATACAACCCATGGGAAATTACCTAATGGATTCTGTTCAAGGAACATCATCAAACAAACATGTGTCACTTTCCCATCATCCTTTTTGTGGTCACGCAAGGTACTTCCAGGATGGAACCAGAGGACAGTGGTTAATGGGGTTCTAGAGGTGTTCTCATCAGCAACTATGAGATCCCCAGGCTTTGGTCTCCATCAAGGTACTTCCTCTCTCAGCCTCCCCAACCCTGACTGAGGAAAAGGCAGGCTGCCCACAGACTGCTGGCTAGCATCCAGCAAATTGAACCTCTCCTGTGACTTCTGGAAGACATCCTGGTCTTGCTGCAGCTGTGCATAAAGCTCTAGTCCAGGGAAACCTAGAAGGCATAAAGTATTGTGCATTAAGATGTGAAGGCTCATTTAGGACAGAAAGACATTTTTTCTGCAGGGAATGAGTTTGACTACAGGGCTCAAGATCCTTGAGTCCATCTCTGGCATCCTTAAAACAAGAAGGAGCCAGTATTTGGACTGTCTCATGGGACCTCCAAAGGAATCCTTTCTTTGGCCATTGGTGGTGGTAAAGGGTGATGATCATATCCTTCACTTGAATTCCTCCTGCTTACACCCTGGCTAGAGTTGACCCCCTTTCCCCTCAATCCCTTCAGCCAGTTCATCCCATTTCAGAATTAAGAGTAAGAGGAAACTTGGAGAATTTATTGACTCTGAACTTAATTTAGGATTTGTCAAATTCCATTGAAAATACTTACTTTGTCGAATACATCACAACTCCAAATGGTCTTGAATTGTCCTTAGATAACCATTTCTTTATAAATCTGTAGGCCAAAGGCATTTAGAAATGGCAGCAGTAAACAGAAGCCTGAAATTGAAAACTTAAGCTTCATAGGGAAGTTGCAAGATACAGTGGTTGAGAGCTTAGCTTCTAGAATCAGACCCATCTGTGCATATTGTGGTAGATTGCTTTATTTATGCCTTAGGTTCCATAGCCATAAAATGGAGATGGTAATATGAGTTTCATGTCCATTCTTCACAAGTCGGTTGAAACAAAATCACTTTGTGGAAAGATCAGTTGGCCATTTATGCAAAAACTGTCAGACGAATGGCTTAAACCAGATCGACGACTGCCAACGGGAGCAGTTTTGCTGCCGGAAGGAGCCACACATGCAAGGTTGTGGGCAGAGGCGGGGCCGGGGTGGTATGTGAACCACTGGCGGGTGGCCAGTGCGCTGCGCTCAACACAGCTGGACGGACCAGCATGTGACACAGTGCTGCAGCGAAGCCAAAGGAGAAGTCACGCTCAGAAAACATCCTCAGTCATTTGATCAGTTTGTTATTCTGCAAATTGATCACTCAATGAATTAAACTGTGATGAATTCGTCTACTTTCAATTGTAGTACCTTCATAATGGCGTTGTTAGAAGAATTTAATGAAATGATGCCTATGCTATGCCTGGCACAAAGAAAGCAAAAAAGATAGGACCCTGCTTACTCCTTCCTGGTTGCAATTATTCTTAGGGTCTTCTTGCTTCAAGAAGTACCATATTTTAGTTGTAATATATTCTGGGTTTTACGCAGGCCAAAAGGAAAGATGCCATTAGTAAGACTGTAAGAAAAATTTCCAAAACTTGAGAATAAGACTGGGGGAGGGGATGCCATGTCCTTTCAATGTCACAGTGGCATACTCTTAAAAAGACATGGCCAGGGATTATTTGATTATCTTAGACAGGGGTCAGCAAGCTTTTTCTGTGCCGGCCCAGCCAGTAACTATTCCTGGGTTTGCGGGTCTCTGTTGCAACTCTGCGGCGCCCACCACCGCAGCGTGAAAGCGGCTGCAGACAGCATGCAAACAAAATGCATGTGATTATTTCCAAAGATCGCTGTTTCCACATTGGCCCCTGAGCTACAGGTGGATGACTCCTGCTTTAGGAGACCATGACTGTGTTTAACTTTGTCTTTTACTATTGACTCAAGCCTAGGCCCTATGAAGTTGTATGCTAACTTACAGATTTTTGACTGTTGGAAGAGATTACCTCCCCCACCCCAGGTTATGATTTTACTGCCCTGTAGGACATAACCAGTTTTGTTTCTAACACAGCAATCTTATTTTAACAGTTTTCTAAAATGCCTATAAATGCCCATTTCCTTAAATGTCTTGGCACCCTCCTTACGATCTCTCTGGTTCCTTCGCGAATGAATTAAGTAAGTTTTTGACACGCGTTTATTCTACATCTGTTTGCATAGTGTTTTTTAACATTTACAAATCATATTTCGACAAGCTTGTTACTTAGAATACCATTTATAACTCCGTTTTAGAGTTCAGTTGTCATTGCGTGATGTGCCAGATATCAGATTCACTACCTTAAATACATTTGTCCTTATATTATGTCTATAAAGTAGCTATTATTATCACCATTTTGCAGATGAGGAAACTGAAGCATATAGAAGTTAAGTAGCTATGAGCTGGCATAATTTACATTTGACCTAAGTTTTTCTGCTCTCCACAGCCCAATAATAGAGCTGAACTGCCTTTCTTGGAAAATAAACATTATTGGCTTAAGTGCAACTTTGTTTAAAGGAACTTTTTCTTAATTTCTGGATTGTAATCTAACTTTTGAGACCTAATATATGGCTTAAAAAGATACGTTCAGATATGTACCCCCTCATGACTAAAATTATGCACTTTTTTTTCCATCTTTTTACCTTGACAAGTTTAAGACTATTTATAACTTCCCTTTTAACTGTATACATATGCTGTTTGTCATGTTTATTACTTTCAGGTGACTTGAAAGATGGTAAAAATAAGACAGACAGGAAAGATCAATCTAATGTCGGAAGTGATTCAAAGAAAACAGATGGTAAGAGCATAATTCCCATTATATTTTTCCATAAAATGTGCAATTTAATGCAGGTTTGTTAGAATTACACCTCAAATTGAAATTGTGGTTGTTGATATATTCTTATATTATACCCTAAAAAAACCCTTCACTGCATTTAAGGAGTACTCGATCCCTATTTCAATAATTTACAGATTATCATTCTATCTCTTCCCCTCCACCATCCTTTGCTCCATCACAAATGCATTCTATACACTCTCTCTTTACCACTTGCCATTTTTTCATTTTCACTTTAAAGATGCCTCTGGACTTGCTGATTGGAATGGGATGGAATATGAGTCTTTGGTTGTGAATTGTGCAGCATAAATGGGAAATGCTCCATGTTTTCAGTTTCTACATTTTCTCTTTTAATGAGGAATTATTGCTTTCAATAAGAACAGAAATCTGTTTGGTGTTATCACTATGTTGGGAGACCCACATATTGGAGAACATACATAGTTGTAGAATGCAGTTTGGTCAGCAAGAATAAGTCTCAAGGGCAAGTTTTGAATGGCAGTCCCCACCAGACCAGTTAGACTGAACCTACCTTGTGATGTGCTCCATGAACACTGCTTTTACTTTTCACAAAGAGCATTCTACTCTCTCTAAAACCTCAAAGTTCAGATTATATTATCCTTCAGACTTTGTACTATCCTACTGAGAAAACTGTTCTCGCCTTTTTTTTTTTTTTTTTTTTTTAAGATTTTATTTATTTATTTGACAGAGAGAGACACAGCGAGAGAGGGAACACAAGCAGGGGGAGTGGGAGAGGGAGAAGCAGGCTCCCCGCAGAGCAGGGAGCCCGATGCGGGACTCGATCCCAGGACCCTGGGATCATGACCTGAGCCGAAGGCAGTCGCTTAACCAACTGAGCCACCCAGGCGCCCTGTTCTCGCCTTTTTTATAAATCTCCTGTTTCACTTGTAACATGGGCTTATTCTTAGCGACTCCTTCATACATGTACATGATATTAAACTGAAAATGCACGTTTCTAGGTGTCCCAGACGCTCTTTGAATCATACCTCCCTGGAGACATTGTATTGGATGCTTAGCTGTTCTTTGATAGTTTGGTTTTAATGTCACTGAAGAACAAATACTGAGTATCCAGGTGGAGGAGTAAGAAGAAATTTGAACACAACTCCACCTATTCAAAAGGAAGCAGCGCCTCTAACTTTCATCTCTAAGCCACTGTGACAGGCTTTCTTTATTCATATGTGTGAAATCAGTTCTCAAGCCTTTTCTTCTAAGCTCATTCAATAATTCACTCCAGGTGTCTTATCACATAATACCTAGGGAACACCCATGTGCAGTTTTTCACCAAATTGTTTATGCAAATGGAAACCACATACCTCATAAAGATACCCTCCTTGAATGATTGTGACTAAGACATGCATTACACAGAGACAAAACAGAATTCAAAATGACAGTCATCCTAGCCAGACTCTGTTATGGGTAATTGTTGCCAGATATCATTAAACCCAAGTCAAGGTAACACAAGCCAGAAAATGTACAGTAGAGGAAAATAGTGTTAGAGGTAAACCCAGCATCTGGACACCTGGCCCATCCTGCATTCAGTGACTAGCCCATCTGAATTCCTACAGCATAAAAGTGCAGAATAAACTAAGTCCCAAATCTTTAACATTGGCTCTTGTTGCATTTTTATATTGTGCTACAAATATCTGTTATGTTGTTGTCATGTGGGCATTGTGAATTACATTTTTACCTTCATTAAGCCTTTTGATTTTACCTGTGCCCTTTATAATTGAATTGTCCCCAAGTATTTAAAATAATTAACAGCTTTTTTAAAAGCGGGGTGTGGGAAGGGGTGAAGAGATACTATGTTCTATTGAACAAATAAACGTAAAGCTTGATTGCTTGGTGAACAAGATTCTTGATCCCATTGGACAGTGAACAGGGTGCAGTAGATAAAGAAGAGACATTTTCTGATGTCTATTCCTTTTCCCCTCCCAAACTCTAACTTTCCACTGATTCAAATGGGTCTGGTGTGTTTATACTAGCAAGTTTATACACAAACTCGGACATGAACAACTTTGTATTTTAATTTCATTGATGGGGTAACATGACATCAGTCATTCTCACTGCTTTGATATCATAAGGACATATATCACTGGGCTTTAGTTACTTGTGCTATCTTAGCCAAAAATCTTTCCCAGGACTAAAGCTATTCTTGGTGGCATGAAGTGGAAAAGATTTTGATCCGTCTCATTTATCTCTTCACCTTTGGTCATCAAGACTCTCTACTTTAGGAAAAAATTTAAATGATACATGGATCAGTGGGTACATTGATTTTTAAAAGCTGTCTAGTAACAACCACATACATTTTGAACATTTCTTTTTAATAGATCCTATTACATTTGATGACCAGAGGGAGTCAAACTATTTTTAATGCCTCTACCCCTAATACAGCCCCTGGGAACCAGTGGTGACCAGTTCTGTCTAATTTTTGAGAGGGAGTATCCAAGCACAATTCAGTGCCCAGTATGACCAAACCCACTATGGTTTGAAGTTGCAACATTGTACGCATTCAGAAAGAAACCTGATGGAAACTGGACCATGGTTGGTTATTCCCAAACTCCACTGAGCTGAGGCACACACAGAAGGAAGGGGTATGTGCTAAAAGCATAAATTATATCCTGGCATAGTGAACACATTGCAGTTGTACATTATCTCTGTCAGGCTGCTGAGGTAGTACTTAGTATCCTGCAGCACTAATTTTTGAACTGACTTCAAAGAATGAATGTCCTTTGAAACTACCTTATTTACTCTTAGGGAGAAATGTACTAACATAAAAAGATCGAGGCCTCTGAGCCAAGATTCTCTCAGGGCCTAAACTTTTACAGTGTCACTGGGAGACTTGTGAGGTGCCAGTGAATGAATTATTTCCTGTGTGTTTTTAGTCATGTTTGAAACAGCATAGCCTCTTGGACCTGTCATAATTTTTTATAGTTGCCCAGAAATATGAATTTGCCTTTAACTTTATTTGACTACAGAGATATGAGAGAGAGCAACCATTTGTGCCTCTCAAAAGATTGATTATAATTAGCCCCTACAGGGTTATTTGCCAAGTCTCAGAGAGGGAGTTCAGCAGGCATTTCTCCTTCACTGAATGTTCTGGGAATTGGAATGTTTAAAGGTGTTCATGAAATTTAAAAGTCAACTACGTAGAGTGAAAAGGGTAGACAAAAGACTATTTATGGACCTCCGCTTCCTCCAAAGAGGACTAATAAGAATTAGATTCACCCTTTCACCTGAAACCATAATAATCATAATAAAAGACAACTTATGTGAAAGAATAGATTCCAAGATACTGGACATCAAGAAATGAAGGACAGTGATCTCCAAGAAACAGGAAACAAATGAAATAAATCCTTTGATTGCTCCAGCTTACTCCCTTGAGAGGGTTTCCAGGCAGCATAATGAAGGGGAACCCAGGCAGACCTGATGGACTCCTTGAGTTGAAGAGTTGGATAAGGATCCAGGGAGAGCCATGGTGGCTAAAGTTAACAAGATAAAGCACCAGAGAGGAGAGAGCTGTAGAGATATAGAACTCCATAGATCTAAAGAGTAGTCATTCATCAGAGTACTGATTGACCCATACAGATAGGAAACTACCTGAGATCAGGAAAGAACCATTCAAGAGGATTAGGGGGAATGGTCCTAATGTTCACACCTCATATAAGGCAAGAAAAGTGCCTATTCCCACTAGCCAGACTTGAATACCTCATAATTTAAAGGGAATTGGGTAGAATTCACCTAATTGTCTTATTTTATTAGTGGGGGAGTAAATAGCTGTAGGCTAAATGCTGCTTTGATCTCACCTAATAAACCTTGAAAACAAGACATGAAAGGATCCCCAAGTGTTTCCAAATAACTACACCCCAGAGTAAAGCTCATAGGTATATATAGAAATACAAAAATATCCAGTACCCAACAAGGTAAAATTCACAATGTCCAATATCCAATCAAAAATTACTGGATGTGCAAAGAAGCAAGAAAATACTACACATAATGAGAGAGAGAGACAACTGAAACAGAAGTTAGAATGTCAGACAAGAACATTAAAGTAGTTCTTATAACTATAGCCCATATGTTTGGAAGTTGTTTAGAGACATGGGAGATATAAAGAAGGGAAAATCAAACTTCTAGAGATGAACACTATAATGTCTGATGTGGAAAACACACTGAGTGGTATTAGCTAAATAATATTGGATGAGATTAATAATAAGTACAGTGGATGAGATTAGACATTGTAGAAGAAAAGAGTAGTGAAAAACTATCCAAAATGAAACAGAAAAAAATTATAAAGAGCATCAGTGAATTGTAGGACATCTTCAACAGCCTAATGTATGTGTAACTGGAGTCCCTAACATAAAGAAGAGAGAGAGGAGGAAAGAAAAATATTTGATGAAGTATTTACTTGGGCAAAGTAAATTTTGCCCAGTGATGAAAAGTGTAAATGCACAGACTCAAGAAGCTCAGTAAAGCCCAAGCACAAGAAATTTGAAGAAAATTACACCAAAACATGTCATAATCCCATTATTCAAACCAATAATGAAGAGAAAATTTAAAAATATCGAGAGGAATAAAAAACTCATGTGCAATTGAACAAAGATAATGATAATTGTAGATTTCTTATCAGAAACAGTGCAAGTAAGAAGACAGTGGAACAACATCTTTCACATGCTAAATGAAAAAAGAATTTGATTAAGAACTCCATACCCAGCAAAAATATCTTCAGATATAAAAGCTGAAAGAATTCATCATTGGTAGACCCCACACTACAAGAAATGTTAATGAAAGACAGTAGGATAACTATGCCAGTTGGAAATATGGACCTGCACAGAAGAATGAGGCACATGAAAAATGGTAACTAGATGGATAAATACATAAGATTTTTTCTTATCATTTAAATCTCTTAAAGATAATTGACTATTTGAACAAATAATAATAATACATCATCT